AAACCGTGGATTGACTTCAACACTGGTAAAAGGAAAGAAGTCAAAAGCGATTTTGAGAAAGATTTATTCAAATTAATGAATAACGCGGTGTACGGAAAAACTATGGAAGACAAGCGAAACCATATGGATTTTGAATTAGTTGATAATGAGGTAAGATATGAAAAATGTGTTAATAATCCAACATTCAAAAACAGATTTATTATTAATGAAAATCTGGTAGGAGTTGAAAAAACTAAAGCAAAACTGAAATTGGATAAACCGATTTTCCTGGGAATGAGCATTTTAGATTTAAGCAAATTACATATGTATCAGTTTTACTATGATGTCCTTAAGAAAAATAATGAAAACATAAAACTGGTTTATACTGATACTGACAGTTATGTAATTCAAGCATTGACTGATGATGTCTATAAGGATTTCAATGATATAAAGCAACACATGGATTTTAGCGACTATCCTGTTGAGCATCCATGTCATGACAAAACTAATAAAAAGGTCTTAGGAATGTTTAAGGACGAAGTGAATGGACAAACTCATTACTAAATTCATCGGATTAAAACCTAAATCTTATGCCTTCACAATTCACGGTGAGGATGATGAACATAAGAAATCAAAAGGTGTAGTGAAACACAAAGTAAAAAAAGAACTGTCGTATCAGAACTACCACGAAGCATTATTTCAAAACAAAAAGCACGAAATCACATATAACTTCATCAGGAGTAAGTCGCATCAAATATATTCAATGTCTCAAGTCAAACAAAGTCTGAGTAATTATGAAAACAAAAGGTTTTATATTGATGCTTTCACTTCACTGCCTTATGGGCATTATAGGATAAACTAACCCTGACATATATTTAAACATAAAACACCATAAAACAACATATAACACGATGGACACCAGCATCAAAGACAGAAGAAACCATAAGGACTACTCAAAAGGGAAAATTTACATAGTTAGAAATTCAAAAAATAACAGTATCTACATTGGAAGCACAACACAGAAACTAAGCGAAAGAATGGCACAACATAGAAAGGCAACAAGAAACCCGAGAGCAAATTCATATAAGGTGTATCGCTCCATGAACGAGCTAGGTGTAGATAATTATTATATAGAACTTATTGAAAACTGTAGTTGTAATAATCGGGAAGAACTAACTAAAAGAGAAGGTGAAATGATACGGGAATACAAACCTGACTTGAACAAACATATTGCAGGTAGAACGCTTAGTGAATACAAAGAAGACAACAGAGAAAAAATCCTTGAATATGACAGAAAGCGACACACTTTAAACAGAGATGCTAGACTACAACAACGAAAGCAAAGATATACTTGTTGTTGTGGGTCAATCATCAGAAGAGATGGTAAGGCAGAGCATGAAAGAACAATAAAACATATTGAATTTTACAGCAATAATTTATAATCTAAATATCTCTAATAAGAATGAAACTATTAGAGATGTTTAGCGGGACAGGCTCGGTTGGTCGGGTTGCTCGGGATTTGGGTTTTAGTGTTATTTCCCTTGATTTGAAAAATGCAAATATCAATACTGATATGTTGAGTTGGGATTATCGTGAGTTTGATGCGGGCGAGTTTGATATTGTGTGGGCATCTCCTCCATGCACCGAATACAGCCGAGCGAAGACGACAGGCGTCCGAAAGATTGAGTATGCTAACAGCATCGTTTTGAAAACCCTTGAAATCATTGACTACTTCAAACCAAAGTGGTGGGTTGTGGAAAATCCTCAAACTGGACTTTTGAAGGAACAACCATTCATGAGTGGGTTGAAATACTATGATGTGGATTATTGTAAATATGGCATGAACTACAGGAAGCGAACAAGGCTTTGGACTAACATTGAAACATGGAAACCCAGACCATTATGTAAAAGGGATTGTGGGAAAATTAGGAATGAGAAACATTTAGAAACTGCTCAACGGTTGCCATCGGGAAAGAAATCAGATTCGGGTGAGGGATACATCAAACATAAACAAGATGAGTTATACAAAATTCCCACTGATTTGATTAGCAAAAAATATTTGTTAATTTGTTTCAGGGTTAAACCACAAAAGGGGAACAGGAAAGGGGGCATGGGACAAAACCCATCCCAGAACCTAGAACTCGTCAGTGGTGAAACCAAGAAAAACGATGTAGGTCAGGTGGATTTTAACAGGGGTATTTGTCCCTTTTCCCCTCCTTTGGGGGAATTTTTTCCCTGTTCCCCTCCTTTGGGGAAATTATTTCCCTTTCCCCTCCTTTGGGGAAATTATTTCCCTTTTCCCCTCCTTTGGGGAAATTATTTCCCTTTTCCCCTCCTTTGGGGAAATTAATTATTCAATGGATGGTGAAGAAGACATAAGTAAAAATTGTAAAAATTGGAGAGATAATCAATTTTTAATCACATGTCTGTTGGGAATAAAAAGAATACATAATAGAAATGTAGAAGATGAGATTTTAATATTTCTAACTGTAAATAAAATACCACCTTACGATTATGTTAAACAGTTTCTTAAAATCAGTAAGAAAAAATATGAAATGATTTATGATATATTATGGTTGTTGGGTTCTAGTCAAGAGAAAGGATAATATGTTAAAGAAATATCAAATTATTTATTGAAAGTAAAAAGTTTAATGTTCAGAATACAGTGAGAGATGTTAATATTATTTTTAAAATGATGTATGAAAGAAGTAATATTTGTCAATTAAATTATTATCCTGAACTGAAATTATAATCATAATATAATAATAACATGTAAAATCTTATATGTTATAATTATACTGAACTTTTAACCTACAAATGAAAAGTAGTGAGAAAAATACTAACAACACAAATACACCACCAACACCCCAGAACTTGATAACTACTAAAAGGGCCAACTCTTTCAAATGAAAAAAATGTCGGCCCCCAGCCCAACAATGAACAAGGCGACAATTTACCCAAATGATTACCTTAACGAAAACGATAAATAAGCTCCCTAAAAACCCTCTTTTAAAAACGAATAAGGTGGTTAATAGGTTTGAGATGAATATAAAAAACATAACAGGGGACCATCAACAGACGACCCCCCAGGCCCCCTACTTTTACAATTTTTTGGGGGGAGGGGGGGGGGGGGGGTCTAAATAATTGATGTTTTTCAATCTTTTCGGCTCAAATAATTGAAAAAATCAATCTTTCGGCATTTGAGCCCCTTACCTTGCTTACGCAAGGAGAAACTTCAGCTAGCTAAAGCTAGCTTTCGTGAAAAGGGAGCCCCCTGAACCGGCCAAACAGAAGCCGAAAGGGCCATGTGACTCAGCCCGGTGACAAGCGCGCCCAGAAACGCAACAACTACCTTCCGAAAACTCGCTTACCATCGAACATGATGCATGCGCATCGATGTTTCTTCCACAAAACATGGGACACCAACAAAATTGTTCCAATCCCAAGTTGTGGCACCACTCCGAAAACTTTTCATGAACCCTTTGAATACCTAGTTGAACGGTCAGCCTTGGGTTCGCACTGAAGCTCCTGCACAGGTCGCCATTGGATGCGGGAGGCAGCGCGGAAACATGCTCAGACGCCCATGGTGGATTATGGGAAAAAAGGATGCATCCTTGTTTGGTTGGTTGAGTTTAAAGGGGGGACCCTTCCCCAAAGGGAAAAAATGGGCGGCGCATGTCTCAAAACAATGAAACGTGGGTAGTTCGATTCCCTTAGACCGTCACGACTCCCAGATTTTGACGCCCGAATTCGTAGAATCGAAACCCCAAAGCCTTCTGCGGCTTCCCTTCAAAGCCCGCCAAAAGGCAGCGACGCCAAGGCACCTTTGTTTTCTAGGGCCTCCAGATTTGAGAGGTTAGAATAAGGGCACCAGCTTTTTTCCCTGTAGTCTATTTCAGTCGGGGAACCCTCCCCCAAAAAAGAAACGGCAAAAGTTCAAAGGGCACCCAGCTGGACCTAAAACTTCCTTCGCCCAACTTAGCCCCGCGGCTTCGCTCCAAGGAACGCTGCTCTTGTAGAAGTCCGCCAGCGCGGCCCGGTTCACAGACTCGTAGCCTTGAAGCGGCACAGGCCATCGGCCATCGGCGCAGAACCAAAAAAGACACCAGGAGCTGGGCAAACAAAACGAGCTGTGAAGGCACAGCTGGGGATTTGTTGTAATGTTAGAATGGTTAAGCAAAGGTAGAATGGTTCTGAGAAGGCAAACTGAGTGAATGGGATGTGGCCAGTTCCATCTGGCACGGCTTCACCTGTCACGAACCCGAACATGGCTCCCGAATAATCTCTCGTAGCTGAAGGAACCCTCAAAAACTAAATACCAAGGAAACCCACTGCGCATACACACGCACACGGGTATGAATTTTAATTGGGAACCCTTTGGTGGGCAACATTTTTGGGATTTAGGTCCACCAACCACTGTTCAGGTTCCCCATTAAAATTCACAGCCGCGTGGATCTGCTGATGTTGGGTCTCTGTTTGCCCCCTAACTTCATGGGCCTAACAGGTAAAACAGGCTTGGGGTTGGATAAAGGGCACGTATTTCCCAAGCTCGCGTGAGTATCCAACTAAGCCGCGCACCAATCGGCGACGTTTACAGTAAATGGGTGGGTCTGTTTTTGGGGAACCCCCCAAAATTGTGATTATCCTTTTGGTTTCCCATTAAAACGGCCAAAAGAGTGCCCTCAAAAAACGACACCCGACATATATGATCATATGTGCAGAGGCACAAGCTCTACGAGTGCACTGCTAAACGTGGCAGCTATCGCAACCCTTTTTTGCTGCTCAGCCATTTGAGTCTCGTCCCCGAATGTCTTGCTCGTGAAATTTACTGTATCACAGAAAACTGGGGTGCCTTGGAACGAGGAACGCATGCTGTTGGGTTGGGACCAATATTTTGGTCTGTCAGGACATCAGGTTGCCTATGATACAGAGACCCATCAGGGTGAATAGGCTTGCACAAAGCCTGAGGAAAGAAGGAGCACCAAAGGTGCCGTGACTATCGCATGGCATCCTCGGATTTCTCAGTCTCCCCATCCTGACTTCTTCGCATGTGACCTGCTCTTGGGCCGCTCAAGTTGTCCGGGGACAAAGCCCGCGGGAAACCCGCGGAGCGCAACATCACCATGACGGTTCGCAAGCACGAGCCCAGATGCCGGGTCCGGACGAAAGGCAATGCACCAAGGCCTGACGTTCGAAAAGGAGACGTTTGCCTACTCGAAGCTTCATGACACCTTGAAAAGGAAGCAATTGTTGCTCGGACCAAACATGGTTTCCAGCATGAAAAACAACAAAGTGCAAGCCAGCACATTCACGAGTTGAGCGGCGAGTTGTGGTGTTCGAAGAGCTCGGTTACGCCTCCCTGCCCGCCACAAGTGATGGCGAGCTGCAGCTTCTGGCTTGCGGCCGACTGGAGAGCAAAGCTGCGGATACCAAGGTCGTCCACCACCTGCCACTCCTTGGAGCACACATCGAACTTACGGACCACACTGTACGCGTGCACCACATGGCGACTCGGACGGTACACCCCGCCAAAGTTCAAAATGTATCGGCCGTCGTTGGCCACCGCGATGCCGCTGGCATCTCGAGGGCAGTTTCGATCGTCGTGTGCATCCGTATAGCTTACATTGTGATAGAGCCACCAGTTGCCTTGGCTAAGGTTCAAACCCCAAACCTAGGACTTACATTTTTCCTTTTCTCTTTTCCTCAGTTTAGTCAAGGACAAACATGTAAGATGGTTCCAAGCATTGACCCAGTGGCCCAAATCTTCTTTCGACATGTTCGACAGCTCCTCCAGAGTCCAGCCTTGGTCCGGCAAGTCGAAGGCCAAGATCTCGGGCCTTGATATGCCATATGACTCGGTGCGATAGTTCAGGATCAAGAGAGTGGCCTTGTGCGCGCCGCATCTGTCTCTTGGAAGCAGCGCCACATTGCCGTGGTCCAAGCCATAGGGCATGCGGCCGAAGGGGAACCAAAACCGTTCGCGGAGGCGGTCGTAGCATGAGGCGTAAGGGAGGAAGAGGCCAGAGTCATGATGGCCATCCGTACCCGCGAAGCTGCAGATCATGGGCGGCTCACCTTTGATGATCTCCAGAGCTGTCGCCGTGCAGGCGCCTCCGGCATAGGGCAGACGAGGCCCGACCCGCAGCTCCAGCGAGTCCAGGTCCAGAATGCGAGCATACTTGATGGAGTACTCCCAGTTCACTTCGTCGCCTCTGAAGCCGCAAGACATCCAAACCTCCTTGCCAGGACTGCCAAGCTTATCCACCAGCACTGTGTAGACATGGTTCAGATCAGCCAGGCGGTCCCCCGAGGGGTCTCTTGCAAAGCTGCGGCGCGACCACTGCTGCCCAGTGGCAAGGTCCGTCACCTGAACTTTGCGACTCCAGCGGCCCAGCACGTTCACCAGAAATTGCCGCTCCCCAACCTGCTGAGAGCTTGGGGGCCCGGCAGCGTGGGGGGCTTCGGGCATGCGGGTTCATGCAAGCTTTTCCGTGTGAAAAAGTGGGCACCCGTTTTTTTGTTACTAGGTCCTCCAGATTTGAGAGGTTGGAATAAGGGTACCCTTTTTGCTGTAGCCTATTCTAGCAGGGGAACCCTCCACCTAAAGAAGGGCAAAAGGGCACTTTGGGCCTGGGTGTTTTTCTTCTCCCGCCTCCAGAACCAGGCTGTCGTGGTTACGCACGGAGGCGAGAAGCTTGTCAGGCAACACCCAAACGGATTGATTCCCTACAGGGCGGCTACTCTCGGCCCTCGAATCCTCCTCCAACTGGGCATAGGTTTCGGACAGGCGGGCCAGAGGGTCCGGGAAGTTGCGATGCGCCCTGAGGTAGTAAGGCGCCGTCTGATTCAAGGCATCCTCAACTGCTGGCACCGCCGGAGGGCGTGAAAACCGCGGATGCACAAAGGGGCTGCTGAAGGCAAGGAGGCACACCAAATCGGACATGGGGTGAAGCGCAAGTTCGGTATCAAGATTCTGACGCCTGGCTCAACCCCGATCCTGGCTGAGCCGAACCGTTTTGCGCGATTCGCCGAGGGCTTCAAGGATGGCTTTTTGGCCCCCAGTCGGGCTCGGGCGTCAAAAAAAAACCGGGGGCTGCACACAAAAGCACCACAGGTTGATTTCCCGGGGATCGGACTCAAAAGGGACCGAGTTGAAGCACATCCCTTCTCCGGCGGCCCTTCCGAAGCCCTCAGCCTCTCGACCGAATGTTCCGAGGACTCATCCCGTGTGAAACACCCCGACGGTTTTATACAAACGGCACAAACACCCTGGGCTTTGCCAAGTTTTGTGAAAGAAAACCAGATGCCTGAGGGTGGCATCGCTCGAAATGGGCCCAAGTACATTGGGTGTCTGGTTTTGATGTGCCAAATGATTGACCGAACACAACCATACCTACCGTCCTCGTCAGTGAATCAAGACGGATGTTGGGAACGAACTGTTCGAGATGGCATTGAAGGAAGCCAGCAGTTCAATAGTTATCAGCTTCCATCCCTACCAAACCAAGGCCCTGCGGAATGATTAAGGCACCAGGATATTCATTGCCTTGGATCACATGGAGATTTGGCTGTTAGAACTGAAACTGCTGTACCTGATGCAATAGTTCTAGGGGTACCTTCCCCATTCTTTCCAGGAATCGTTCTTTCTAGAAAACCTCCAGAAACCCAGGGAAAACGGTTGGTTTTCGGAAAGAATGGGGAAACAACCCCTGGAATAGTACTTAGGAAGAACATTGGTCGAACTCTCAGCACTGAGCAAGGCACTGCCTCTGCCGAAGCCCCAGAGCATATAGGGCACAAAGACCAGCCCCACCTCGTACGACGCAGCTCCGAACCGGCCTCCCGGGCATATCTTATCCCTTGGGGGGGGGGGCACGGTCCTTTTTGGCATTTGGTCAAAAAGTACCGGGAGTCTCCATGACCCTTTAAAAATGGGGTCATTACCCAAAATAATGGGGTCATGGACCCATTTTTGATTTGGGTCATGGAGACTCCAGGTAGACACTTGCTGCAGGATCTTGTCTAGCCCGGACCCAAAGACTTGCTTCTAGAGGGTGCGGGAAATCCTCAGATTCCCCAGACCCTATGAATTTGCATGCTTGGATCAAAATGATCCGGATCCAGTTACCCCTCTAAACCCGAAGGCTGACGGAAAAGTCCTGGATGAACCTGGAGATGTTTCAAATCCTGGAGACATTTGCTCGAGTCCAGAGGTCATGTCAGAATGGTTATTTTTGACACTCGGGCCGCCTGCCCCTAGGTTGTTTTGTTTAAGCTCGCCATAGAGAGGGGCACGCACGGGAGATTGGGTCGCTCATGTCCAAAGTCCCCACATACCTAGGGTCCAAACATGGTTCAGACCAGGTTTTGTCAGGTTGATTCGATTCAGCCATGACCTGTCCTATCAACGACCCAAGGCAAATCAATGGAAACTCCGCCGGAAAAGAAGAGACCAACTACGCCTGTAGCCACTTATGGGTACGCGTCAAAATTAAGCCACAAGGGGACTGCAGGTTTTGGTCCTTGTTTCCATTTACTAGGGTTCCATTTGGGGGTTGCCCCATTTTTGACAACACCCTCAGGGCTTTGCCAAGCGGAGAGAAGCATCCAGCTTCACTTCGGTCTCACTCTCAAGCCCAGCTGCCAGGTTTTGGGTCCAGATCGAATTCGGTCAACCGCTTGTCTGGAAACCTCCGATGGGAACCTAAAGCGATGGAACATGCGCGGGCCACTGTTCTGCGAATGCTGATGGCCCATTCAAAGGAGAGTTGGGTGGAAGGCGCAGAAAGCTTGAAGGCTTGCTGGATCGCATGTTTTTTCTTGGGCAGTTTGGAGGAAAGGGACCCATCCCTCAGGCGCCGAAACGAAGCTTTGGCTGCCACCGGGTTGCCCAGTGACCCTTTCTGACCATTTTTGGGAATGCGCTACACAAAAGTGCTTCGAGGGTGCCTCTGAACGCCGACTTGCTGACCTGAGTAGGTGAACGCTTTGGGCCTTCATGGCTTCCGTCCGACAACTCGGCAAATATGAGAACCCATGTCAGATCTGGGGGTATTCTTCAGGCAACCCAAAGAAATGCCGACCATTTACGCGCCATCATGAATAAGCAGCTTACAAAAACAGATCCAATATGGGGGTGCCCCTGGTTTGAGCGGGGATTCCCTTTCACTTTTGGAGGGCCCAGAAACCACCCCCATATCAACAAAGCCGGGGTTTAAAGAGAAAAACACCTCCGGGGTCAATGGTTCCACTTGGACACCCGAGTCCCCGCACTCCCATGTGGCTTGTTCTCTCGGTGAAGCCGAAAATCCTGGGCGCGCTTGCACAGAATCAGGCGCCCAGCAACCCATTGACTGAGTCTACCAGCATGGCTCTAAAGGCGTATCTCATTCATCTAGGTCCTCCAAAGAGATTAGAATAGGGGCTGTAGTCTAGGCCCTCCCCAAAAAAAGGGCAAAAGGACACTACTGGGGGACCTAGTTATAACAAAGGCCCATGTTTGTATTCTCTTCTTTTGGGGAGGGCTTAGCTTTATATTAGGGGTATTTTATCAATCATAGGTGGACATTAGGCCGTTCTACCATTTTCTGTCAAGCCATCTACTAAAAAGAGTTCAATGGGCTGTTTGGACGCTGCTCATGTGACAACAACTGGACGGTGCTTGGAAGCCTTCATTAGCTTGTGCTCAAATGGCAATCCGTTCCAAACTCATGTTGAAAGCCAGCAAAACAATGGTAACTACCATGAAACTCCATGACCAACCCACAAACTCTGCCATTTCAAGGGAGGTGGGAATGTACAACCAATCATTCAAGGGTCAAATACTTCTGGGCAAATTACTCTGACTCACAAACCTGACATATGGGACTTGCGAGTAAGGGGCTTTCAACCTGGGATTCGAAATGGTGTTCCGGTCGTGACGGGTGAAATTTTTTCAAGCCCGCCGACCAAAAAGAACGGATCTCAAAAGAGCGCACACGTATCTTAGTTCCCAACCACGAAACCACGAAAGCCTGAATCAAAAAGCGAAATGAGCGCCGCGCATAGTGGCGACCATCGCCTGAGCCGCACGAGCCTCGTTGAAATGAACCGGTTGTCGGTTGGTTTCCCTTTAAACCAACCTGAACAGGGTACCCTCAACACTCTACCTTCCCCCAGGCGATCTCTTTTTATCAATCGTGTGGTAAGCTACTGCCAAGGCGCCATTAGCCACGCTTCAGCAGGGCAACCCAAGGCTTCTTGAAACCTCCTGAGAAGTCTTAGAAGGGGTCTGAAAACCCTTCTGGTGTGTAGGGGGAGCCGCATGATTACCTGCTATCGTGGTCTGCTTGCCCAGGCTGCAGAGCTGGCTTCAAAGTTGCTTAAGCCGGAGCTCACGTTGACTGCTCCATTGCTGGCCGAGCGTGGGGGTTCCAACACACCCAAGTAACACACAAAGCTTCTTCTAGCACACGTTCTTGGTGAGAAGTGTTTTCATCTGTTGCTGATCTTTCATTCACCTGCAGTTCATTCCCCCCACACCCGGCTACATTAAACCGCAGAGGGAACCACTAAAGGAACCGCCACGGTCTCCGCGGATGCTCGGACACGTTTCCCGTACTTCGAGTCCCAGCTTTCATGAGCACCTTCCGCACAGGACTCTGCGGCGAAGGCTTGGAAAAGCAAGACTTGCTGGGTTCGATTTGGTTCGTCTTTGACACTTTGCAAGCCGCTTTCTATGTTCTCGGTTGCTTTCTGCTCCCCTGCTAAACATTTAACTTTTAGCGGCTTAATACGAAAAACCCGTTAGTTGGATCAAACAGTTGTTCAGTCCTAACATCTTGGCAAAATGCAACAAAGTTGTTTGTTGGCGGAACACATGTTCAACCAGCCCAAGTTGGGCTAAGGGAGTTCCAAACACGGGTCGGTTGAGATCCCGGGAGCCAGTCAGTTTTCTGCCCCAAGCAACGGGAACCACCCATTAGAACCAAAGAACCCCCCCCCAAACAAAAATGCAATAATAGTGTTAACTGGGATCCGCTGGGAAGAATATATTTATGGTCAATGTCTAAGGGCGCTCGTGTTTTTTTGTGGAAGATTTCTGCATGGGCTTGAGTTAAAAATCGAAAAGCCCGATTTCATGTTGGTCTCGCCTGTTTTGAGACATGGGTGTGTCTTCTGTTGTGTGTGTGATTTCAACACACAGGTTTTGCTGTGTCGCGCTTTGGCGAGCCATACCCACATGCTCATCTCTGCCAGGTTTCCAGCCAAAAGCGAGCAGCAGAATTCGAGTCTGCCCACACGGCTGACTCTTCATACTGCTTCCCTTCATCCAGCGAAAGTTGGAGTGCCTGCGTATCATTGGAGACAAAGAAACATATTGAGAGGCCCCCTTACGGCCCCCTTTTTGGGTCTACATCAGCTTCACCCCCCTGAAGAGCCTTACGTTGATTCGTTTTCAGGACCCCCCCCTCCCCAGGAACGGATCTGAACAGGGAAAGGGGGGGAAAGATCTTAGGGAAGAAAGGGAGAAGATCTGGGGGAAAAAAGGCCAACAGGGAAAGGGGGGAAAAGATCTTAGGGAGGAAAAGGGAGAAGCTCTCAGGGGGGGAAAGGCCTTAGGGGGGAAAGGGTGGGAAGGATCTCAAGAGGGAAAGGGGGGAAGAGATCTTAGGGAGGAAAAGGGAGAAGATCTGGAAAGGCCTTAGGGGGAAGGGGGCAAAGGATCTCAACAGGGAAAGGGGGGAAAACATCTTAGGGAGGAAAAGGGAGAAGATCTCAGGGGGGGGGAAAAGGCCTTAGGGGGGAAAGGGGGAAAGGATCTCAACAGGGAAAGGGGGGCAAAGATCTCAGAGGGGAAGGGGGGCAAGGGGACTCCAAAGGGACGCAAATAAGAATGCAGGCCTGTAATGTCGGCGGCCTGCGCCGGAGGCGTTAAAATATATATATATATATGGCACACACACACACCCAAATGTCGACCTTTCGTCTGTCTTCATCTGTGATGCCCACTCTGCAAAGGAAAAATACTCTCCAATTCAACCGTTCGAACCGTTTACCCCGTCCCGTTTGAACCCTTTCTCAAAGGAAAGGTCTGGGCCCAAAGCCGTTTTGACCGTTTAAACCGTTTAGCCCGTCTAAAACGTTTAAACCGTCTCTGAGAGGAAGGGTCTGGGCTTTACAAACCGTTTAAACCGACTTTAAACCGGTTAAACCGTTTGAACCCCCTCTCAGGTGGAACCCTGGCGTTGGGGGGGGGTTCATTTCAGAGCGGCGGCTTTCCTTTGAGAAAGACTTAAAACGGTTTAAACGGCTTAAACGGTTTAAACGGCTTGGGGGTCTTTTCTCTGAGAAGGGCTTTAAACGGTTTGGGCCCTCCTTGGGGGAGGGACCTTTCCTCTCAGAAAGGGTGCAAATGGTTGAAACGGTTTGGGGCCCTGACTCTCTCCTTTGCTGTTTTGTTTGGGCATCTTCTGACCAAACCGCGGCTTAGAAATAGGACAGAGGCGACCAACATTTTATTCGGGCCTGGGTTCAAGATTCGCTGGACAAGTTTTTAACCTGAAGCTTGCAGATTGTCTTTGGACATGTGCTCTGGTTTTTGCTGCTTTCCCCAAAGCCCCAAACAAGGCAGAAAAACCATGCAAATACCAATGAATTCTGAAAAAGTAACTTAACTAGGATATCCTGTTCAAAGAGCATGTTTAAACGGAATGTTGATTTCAAATTAGACTTTAAACGCGGTATCCTTGTCTTCTTTTGAACTTAGTAAGGAAATAATCCTAGTACGATGTTCCAGTTTAAAGAGAATCTAAATAGGTTTTCCTGTTCAAATAATACTTGCAATAAATCCAATTAAAGCCCTTCTTTTAAAGCAAGTCTATCTAAATAATCGTTCAAACCAGAAATTTGAAATTCTAGAATTATGTCATTATTAAACTATGTTTAAACCATGACCAAACAAATTGTTAATACGGTTTCTAGTTTAAAGAGAATCTAACTAGGTGCCCTGTTCAACGTCGAATTTGAAATTGGAATTTTAACTGTGTTCTAGTTGCACTTTTGATCAGACATTAAATAGAATTTAAGAACAGATTTCTAGTAGTGTGCTAGTTTTATCGAGAATTTAAGTAGGCGTTTGTTAAAGTTCCATTCTTAATTGGAACTGTTATTTCAAATTCGATTTTGAAGCGGGTCTCGTTTGCTAGGATGAATATATCCAATAAATTTAGATAGACATTAACAGCGAACCATCCCAACATATTTTCTAGTTTTAAAGATGTTGTAAATAGGATGTCCTGTTGGAGTAATATTGTGATGCATACTTCGATCCAAACCTTAAAGAGGACGTCTTTTTCCAAGATGTTTCTCTCAGCTAGAATCTAAATCCGCCGACATTGCTCGGCGTGTCGGATACCTAGGACTATTGGCCCCCCGGGACACGTCAAATACGCATGGTTTTTCGGTCGCCCCCCCCCCCCCTCCCCCGCGTACCGCGCGGCAATTTGATGACGTTCCACTAAACGTAGTCTTCGGGGAGCCGGTGTCGCAAAACAGGGGTCCCAGGCTCGATTCCCCCTGCCGGCTTTTTTGCTGGCTTGGGCTTCCTACATCCTTTTGCCAAAAATCTGGACAAACTCCATGTTTTTGGACGTCTTTCATACATTCATCCATTGCATTCATTTCATACATTACATTCATTACATTCCTTACATACATTACATACATACATACATACATACATACATACATACATACATACATACATACATACATACATACATACATACATACATACATACATACATACATACATACATACATACATACATACATACATACATACATACATACATACATACATACATACATACATACATACATACATACATACATACATACATACATACATACATACATACATACATACATACATACATACATACATACATACATACATACATACATACATACATACATACATACATACATACATACATACATACATACATACATACATACATACATACATACATACATACATACATACATACATACATACATACATACATACATACATACATACATACATACATACATACATACATTACATTACATTACATACATACATACATACATACATACATACATACATACATACATACATACATACATACATACATACATACATACATACATACATACATACATACATACATACATACATACATACATACATACATACATACATACATACATACATACATACATACATACATACATACATACATACATACATACATACATACATACATACATACATACATACATACATACATACATACATACATACATACATACATACATACATACATACATACATACATACATACATACATACATACATACATACAGAGACAGACAGACAGACAGACAGACAGACAGACAGACAGACAGACAGACAGACAGACAGACAGACAGACAGACAGACAGACAGACAGACAGACAGACATACACATATATAAATATATATATATATATATATATGCATACATTCATACCAGAGAGGGAGATTGCAGAGGGAGGGAGAGAGGACGACAGAACACACAAGGGAGACAAGGGAGAGAGGCAGAAGGAAAAAAGGGAGAGGACAATGTCGGCGGACTGAGCCGGAGGCTGTAAAGTAGACTTTAACAAGGCACCTTTTTTGGCTGCTTTCCCCAAAGCACAGAAAAAGGCATAAAACACCACAAATACCATTGAAGCCACCAAACAGGTAGACATTGGGGGGAAATAGCATTTGTACATATATATATATGTATATATATATATATATATATGTATAAATATATTACATAGAACAACATGTCCACTACTACTGTTTTTCTTCAAAACAAACTTTAAAAGCTACTGATAAGCAATCCCCCCCCCCCCCAAAAAAAAAAAAGGGGGGAAATAAAAAACGACAACGGAGAACAAACAACATGCCTACTACTCAGCTATTTGGAAGCCAGGGCCAAATGGCCTGTGGGTCCCGGCCAACGAGCCGAGTGCCAGCGGCAGCGCCTTGCCTCGCTTCGCCAGGAAGCCTCGGGAGACTCAGAGAGACGCGTCTCTTTGTTTGTCAAGCAAGCAACCGACCAAGCAACCAACCAACCAACCAACAAACCAACTAACCAACCAACCAACCAAGCAACTAACCAACCAACCAAGCAAGCAACAAAGCAACAAAGCAACAAAGCAAAGCAAGCAACCAAGCAACCAAGCAACCAAGCAAAGCAAGCAACCAAGCAACCAAGCAACCAAGCAACCAAGCAACCAAGCAACCAAGCAACCAAGCAAAGCACGCAACCAACCAACCAGCCGGGGATAAGCTCCCGAGCCGGGGATTCTTTGAGTGGATTGGCCCAAAAAAGGCGCTGAACCTCTGGTGGACAGGAATCCCCAAAATGAGCACCAAAGCCCCCAAACGAATTTCATACCCACTGGGGAACTGCTGATTTGCCGATACGGTCCAAAAGTCCGACTGAACTGTTGATTTGCAACAAACATGGTCCAACTGAACTTCTTTGCCCGTACGCTGGTTCCAAGCCCAAACAGTTTAAAGTCTGGCTAACAAAAAATAGCAACTTTTGGTGTGCCACTAAAGTGTCCAAGCCCAAAAAATAACTAAAGCTCCATGAACTCAGGAAGTGAGATGAAGAAGAACCCTCAGGTGTTGTTGTTCCTACTAAAAATCGCACCCAACACAACAACAACTTGAAGTTGACACCCAAACCCTTGCTTTGATGTTTGGCCTATTTGGCGAGTAGGTCATAACCAAGGTAAGTGGAACAACTGGGGTTGGTTGGATTCATAAACATGGTTGTACCCCACTTGCAAAGTAGGCCGAACATCCAAGTGCGCCTTATGTTCTACATTTCCCGAAAGCTCTCTGAAACTAAGGGCCTCACCCTATCAGCCCAAGGGGTTGAACATGGAGTTGAAAGCAAATGGCACGGATTCTCTTGTGAGCCAAGAAGCTGACCAAACCAAACAGGTGATCCCTTAGGGTTTCCGGTGTTTGTTTCCCCTACACCGACACCAAACAACCATCACTGCAAGTTGCCAGAAAAGGGAGCCCTGGTGTCCCCGAGGTTTCCCTTAGTTGGCATCTGGGGTCTGGGAGAATCAGTAATGAGATCCGGACTAGTCAACCTGCTTGGATGTTCGACCTATTTTGCAAGCGAATGAAACCAATCAAACTTCAGTGTTCCACGTGCAACCTTGGTGTTGAAAACCCATTTGAAGGGGTATCTTCCACAAACGACCTGACAAACTTCAACCCCGCATGAACTAACATGGTGGACTAAATAAGACAGCCCCCTCCCCCGCCCCCCACCTGTTGAATCAACCAGGGGTTTGACGAGAGAATCTGGGGATTCATAAACCTCTTGATTGATAAGGGTGTGTGTGTATGTGTTCTTGAGCGAGCAAAGCCGACATATGTTGCGCAAGCTCCGCGGAAGGGTGCCCCGTGCTTGGCAAGTGCCCACGTAGCACCGGCGCCCAATGAAGCCCCAGGCGTTGCAACGGCGGAACATTAGGCACTTGCGCTAGTTGCTAGCCCCAGTTTGTTGCTAGACGGACACCAATAGCCTTTTTGTTGCAAACAAAATGAAGCAAGAGCTTGCTGTGCGGCCTGTCGGCAAGTGTTGGTGCGTTTGACAATGTAGCAACCCTGCCGCGGAGAAAGAAAAAAACACACCTTCCACAAAATATTCCGCATGCATCCAAACGAAACGACACTCGAATGTAAAACATGCTGCTGGAAGTCGAGACCCTCAAGCCCCAGGTTGACACACAGCCTAGGACTGAGGCAAATTGGTCCCTTAAAACGGATTCGTAAACCTTTTCAGACACCGAAAAAAGGACCGCCCATTTCCACTTTAACAGTTTCCAACCAAACCAAACCCCAACCAAACCCCAACCATACCCAACCATACCCAACCTTACCCAGCCCACCTCCCCTTCGATCCGAGTGCGGGGCTATAGCCCATAGACGCCATGGCGGCGGTGACCACTGTCACCGAGGCTAAGGCGCCGATGGTATCTGCCGATGCGAGTCGCTGAGTCGTGAGCTGAGGTGAGCGGTGGGTGGTGAGTTGAGTGCGGGCGGCTTTAGGCGCGTTTTGGCTACCCAAGCTGCACACCTGGTGCCAGAACTATCGTCTACTTAGATGGTCCAAGGGACGAATGGCTGAATTGTTGGCTTTGCCCTGGGTTATGGGGGGCGAAAACAATCATGGCTTTGGTGGTATAACCAGGGAAAAGCTAACCACTTCGCGATTCCCAGAGCACCTAGGCAGGAACTGAGCTGAGTGCCGGGTTGCGGTAAGGTTCTTCCAGTTTTATATATGGTGCCACTATGGACCCCTTGTCCAGCCCAAACTATGATACCATGAATCCCTTTTCGCGGCCCCCCATCGGCCCATCGGCGGCGAAAAATTGTCTCTATGAATCCCAAGTCTGAGTGTCCCCCTTCTGAGCCTGCGGAAAGGGCGAACATTTGCCGGCCATGTCTGGGTCCCCTCTGCACCGTAGCTTAAGGTGGACGAACTATGCGTCAGAAGCGACGGTTGTCTGCCGCAAATGACCAAGACAAACAATCAGACTGGCAGAGGCGCCCGGGAGAAAATGCAGAGGTTGTCCCTTTGGTTTCCCTGCAAACACCAACCAAAAAGTGTACCCGAACAAAAAGACGCACCCAAATGGGACAAATGCCCAATCAACTGGCGTCATAATTCTAGGCTCCCATAACCCCGGGTCAAGCCTTGTAAGCAAGCATCATTTTCCAAAGCCGTATGCCTAGAAAAGAGTCATATTTGTGTCCCTGGGAAGTTTTTGGGCACTGGGGGCATGAATCCCGCTGTGTACCCCTAATCCGTCTTCCCTTGCCACAGTAGCGTGCCACACTCGCAACAGTCTAAGCGGCCATGCTGCCCGGCGGCCAGCAATACATGGGCCATGCACATGTTTCCCGAAGAGACCGAAGAGGACATAGGAAAATGGTGTGGGCTCCCGGCATTCTGCGGTAGAAGTTTGGGAGGGACCCCCTTCTCCGCCGAAACAATGGCCTACAAATATGTCGTCTGCTTGGGTGCGCAGACTAGGGAACAGCTTGGCCGGCCGTATGGCGTCGGACTTGGGGCACCTCCGGAAGGAGCTGGTGTCGGCGAAGCTTCCAAGACTGACATTGATGGCCATTGGCCAGTAACCCCTGTTCGATGTCATGTCCTACAAGAAAATACGAAAGACCAGGGCTGAATGCATGAACCCATGCATTGACCCATATATGAACCATGACCTTCTTACAGTATGACATGAACCCTGTATCTTATGGTTCGATTCTCCACTACTCGACTCGCTCTGGGATTGCAGCCACAGGGTTTCAACATGGAGTATGGTTCCAATGGGTTCATGGGCTTAAAGTGGGGCTGGTTTCCTGTAGCTTCACTTGACAACTCGAACAGGAACCCTCGAACCAACTAAGGAAGAAAAGCATCTACTCCCCGACAAACTAAACGGACAAAAACCCAAACCGCAGGTCCGATCTGCAATGGTGCGTTTTGGGGCTCTATGTCAATCTGCAGGCTATGCACTCGGCCTCCAAACATGACCTGCACAGCGCAAACCCGCCTACGCCAACGATTTTGGCGGCGATCTCTGAGTTGAAGTACCCATTCATGTAAGCACTTCCTGAGCGCACAGGAACATCTTTCCAGAGTGCTACCTCAAAAACATCACCCGTCAAAACAAATTATCTTTTAAACGCCAAACAAAAAGGGAAACACGTAGCAGTACTTTACTAAGCATTTGGTAGGGTGGAGTTCACCGTTCATTGCCAAAGCCAAGCAACTCCGTGAAAGTGGGTGTGTCCAAGCACTCGAGATGGCATGTCCAAATCCCGAAGCAAAGTCATTGGAGTCGGGACGTGGCTTGTCACTTGCTTCGGCATTGTGACTTTGTAGATCCTTCTCATTTTGGGGTAGACTCTGAAGATTGACCCCTGATTTCTAGCCCATGCAGAGGTTGATCTTTAGTAATTTTGGATTCCTGCCCCCCCACGCAGCTAACCGATCGAATTCCCCGTTTAGTACTTGGAGTCCTTTCCAGAAACGCCGGGGCCCGAGTTGCCGACGCTGACTTAAGTCTCTGTGCCCAATGAAAGGCTGTGCAGGCGTCCCAAGTTTCTTGGGATCACTTTTGAATGGCCCTGGACGAAATCCATGTCGCAGCATTTAAGAAACGCTGGTGATTCGCATGATTCGCATGTAAATGCCAATCAGTAGCCCATGGTTTCTTAGGTGCTGCCAAATGGATTTCGCTTTTCCATCCACAGTATGACATTAAACGGCATTCCCATGCTTTGATAGGTGTTGCAACCAGCCAGACCCAAAACTGCAGGAGGGAGTGCCGTGTTTTTTTTGTGACTTTGACTTTGAATGGGAAGCCGGGGCCCTCAGTGTTTCCTTCAGAGTTCTCTTCAAAATGAGGTTGTGGAAAAAATGAGCGTCGCATGGAGGGTAGCGGAGGTCCCAGAAAGGCAATGTCAACTGTCAACCCAGGATTCCTGCAATGAAACCTTGGGGAAACTTGGACCGCCCTCCTTACATGCTTTGGTCACGTCACCCCAACATACCATGTTTGCGGATTAATACTGTGGATGGAAAAGCGAAATCCATTTCGCACCACTTGGAAACCATGGTTGACACCCTTGTTTGTTGGTATTTACGTTGGGGAATCGAATCAGAAACCAAGATTTCTTAGGTGCGAAATGGATTTCGCAACCATCCACAGGTCTTGTTCCTCCCAAAAACAAATGGATCAATTCGGGCCTTTGGATCAGGCCTTTTGGTCTCCTGTCTCCGCCGTATTGCTTTGGATCCGCTTTCCTTCTTGACCAAGTACATCCTGAAAACCAACATGTGCTGTAAATAAGTGATATCCCTAAAATCCGCTAGGGAGAATTGTTTATTGAACATACGGCTCCATACCAGCTTTCACTTTCGTTCAGGGTGGCAGTGGGGAGCACTTGTTTGGGACCGTCGTTAGACAGAAAGGAAGCGCTGCAGGTCGGCGAGTGTTCCTTCGAATTGCTGGGGCTCTTTGGAATATTTGGAGTCCGAAGGAAACCTGATCGCCAAGCGAACTCCAACCCGCAAAAACAAACCTCAACCACAAACCACACCCCCATGAACCCACTTCACTACCCCCGTCCCACCATCATTCCAGCGTCCGAAGCCAAAGGCGAGGTTGGTGGGACTCAGAAGCCAAATCCTCTGGCGCGTCGATCGAACCCTGGCTTGAAAGAGGTCGCCTTGTTTCCAGCATCCTTCCAACCCCCCAACCCCAAGCTTCTTGTTAGCAAACCGTTCAGCGATTACCCAAAGCCAACCCTTGATCGTCTTTCAGCGGCTTGGGTTCACAAGCCTCGAGCTCAGCGACGCGAATTTGGTTCAAGCTGCACGCGATTTTTCTTCCAACCGGGTGCATGGTAGATCGGGAATCTGGACATGTTGAACATTTGAGCATACTTTGTCCGTGTGGTTGGAGAGGATCATTTATGAAGAAAATTGCTTGGCACCCAAGTTCTGGTCACCTGCGGAAAATCGCTGCCTTAGGAAGTGCTCACACCCGGCGAAAAACATGTCCCCTCCGATCTTCACCCCAAAGAACCACAAAAGACCACTGTAACAGTATTGTTTGCCCTTGACCGTTGGTGCGGGAAGTCTTTTGGGCGTGGGGGGCAAACACACCTCACACGCGAACAGCAGATTTCTGGCCACGAATCTAAAGGAAAGAAACACAAAGACAAAGACGACTCCGAGTTGGAGACGCGTGTCGAGCTCCCAATGAGTATCTTATTGTCCTATGGCTTTGGCTTCCAATACGTGCTAACTGACCCCCCCCAAAAGCGGGTACCCTAAAAAAAACACAGCCCCATAAACACGCCATGAAATCAAGACATCTCAAATCAGGTGGCGTGTTTGAGCAAGCCTCCGATTCAGAGCGGACCGTGCGTTCGGGTCAGACCAAAGGGTGCAATAAACAAATTGAAGAATGAGACACGTGGCCAGGCAACTACAGTGGATGGACGAAATCCTGCACCAAGTTGAAACCATGGGAAACCATTTCTTGTCGGCATTTACAGGGTTCCAGGTTTTCTTAGCGCGGGGCCTCACAGGACAAGAGGTGAGAAAATGAGAAAACGCTGTGCCACATCCACATGTGGGGCATGACAAGTGCATCCCAAAACTGCCCCATGAAGCCAATAAAACTCAGTGCCAAACATCGTGAAACCCAACAAGAATTGACCCATTTTCCCCTTTGCAAGACAACAGCAAAGCATAACCAACCACCACACCTAAGGCCCAGATTGACCCCAAGCCTTTCGCAACCGCTTACCCATGCTGAGGGCATCGCATCGTTGGTCAAAGGAACAGCGCTCTTAAACGGCCATGCGCAACAATATGGCAAGGTAGCAACATCGCCAAACAGTGTTTGCTGGGATGCTTCCATTTGCTTAAGCCCCATGGAAAAAAAGGTGGGTCCAGCCGTGACAGATTCCTTTTAAAACCATATCCTTAAGCAAGAATGGAAGGATGGAGCCTTGGCTAGGTCCTCCAGTGGAGAGGATAGAATAAGGGTACCCTTTTTTTCGGTAGTCTATTTTAGTAGGGGAGCCCTCCCCAAAAGAGAGTAAAAGGACACTACTGGGGGACCCAGTTGGGTTGTTGGCCAAGCCATCGGGGCATGGAGAACTGACCACGCAGGCGCTCATTGCGCGCGAGGGGCGTGGCATCTGGCCACAAGGCCAAGGCCTGGCAATCAAGCCGACGGCTTCTCTCAGCTCGCGGAGCCTTCACCTGGGAACCCAAACTCGGTTGTGAAATCTGCGAAGCCCGGCTACAAGTGACTAACTTTTAGTGGTTTAATGAGAAACCCATTCGTTGGCAAAAAGTTGAAGTCCTAACATCCAAGCAACATGCACCTCTGAAAAGGACAAACCGTTTTGGGGTCAAAGGGAGAACCCACCATTTGAGAGGTCTAAAAACTTGCTGGTGCGAAATCGGTAGGGACGGTGAAACGGAATGACCACGAAGAAATCCATCCAACTGGTGGTTTCCTGAGTCAGGGGACCAAATCTTGGGTTCGTTCCCTCATTCCCTACTTGTCGCACCAGCAAGTAACGATTTCATTGGGAAAACCACACCGTTGAAAAAACGGGGACCTTGTTTTTCGAAATCCTTCAGGTCACCTCGGTCTTTGCAAGAAAAAATGGGCTTGCCTTTTGGCCTTAGGGGGAGCTCCTTAGCCATTTGGCCAGGGCGTCTCTTGGTTTCTGGCTAAAAGTACGAGTGGACACTTTTGACGAAATCTGGGCGATTGATCCCAAAGAAAGGGTCTTCATCGTAACTATACTTGGTTGACGTTGGAAGGGGAGCAAAAATTATCAAATTTTAGCAGTTAAGTGGTTGGATTTCCACCACTAAACCAGAACAAGCAAAAATGTAAAATGTTTCCCAATAACAACCATGTATACCACGGGGCCGAAAAAGCAAGCTTGCTAGAGTGTGACAAGCCGCCTTGTGATAGAACTGCACCCATATGCAAGCTTCTCGGTAACGCAAATGCCATTGAGACATTCACGGATTGCCGATACTTAACCCTGAGGCTGCCATGCACTTGGGAAACCTGTTCGGGTAGTCCCAGAGGGAAAGCCAAAGGGAAGCCCCTCTGCAGGTCCCTCAATCACCAATTTCGGGGGATAGCTGGGATCCACTGGGATACACGACCACTTTGGGGTAATGATGAAGCCCGCCCCGCTGACCGCCTTCCGCCGATACCCTTTAAGAGGAACTTGGTCCAGGTACTGCTGCTAGGTTCGTGGGAAGGGTCGGCTTTCTTTCGTCCTGGGTGAAACCTTTGTGAGAAACAGGGCGACTCCTGCGTAAAATCCGGCTTCTTCCCTTTTAAACCCAAGGGCACACGTGAGAAACACACACACACATGTAGTGCTTCCCCCAAAAATGTGCGCTTTGAACATCACCCAAGGCAAAAAAAACAGTTGAAAAGAGCCTCATTTATCTGAAGCTTGACACACACCATTCGAAAGTGGCTTTGAACACCCGAATTTCGGAACCGACTGAACCATTGTACCCACCTCTCCCCAAAGCGCCGGCAGTACAGACCGCAGCTTGCCCAGCATCTGGCTCCGCGCAGAAACCCGGCGGAATCGTTTCACCGAATGCGCCATGGGGAGGCTTCAGCATCTGGCCGTGTCACAAATAGGGGGACCCAAGAACTGGTATTTTCCGGTTGGTTGCCCCTGAAAGCGACCTCACAAGGGACACCATCCAAGAACGCACAAACAGTTTCTGGAACATGATGGGGGTATGGCTCAAAATTAAAGAGCTGGGGTTACGCGGGCTTTAGTCTTTGGTTCCACTTTCCAGGGATCCATTTTGGTCCCGGTTTTTTGAGCCACAGCCATGGGTTCCTGCCTGTCAATGGTTTGGACCATCCATCTGAGTTGCTCCCTTTGAACATTGAGCCCCAAAACGAGGACCGATCCCCAAGAGGTTCTCTTCTGCACGGATTGCACGGTATTGTTTGTCCATTGTAAGACCAGAACTTCCACGAAATCGGTGGCGCACGTGCTGAGGTTACCCGCACGCTAGTTACACCCTTGAAGCCTTGGGTGGCTCCGGTGTCGCTGTTCGCTTCTCGCAGGGATGTTGAAAGGGAAGTTTCAGGATGCATCTCCGCACTTTGCGTCTTTCGGCACAAAGTGCAACGAGAACAAGGCGACCAAGTGACCAAGGGAGACACCCGTTTCTTACACGGCATCCCTAGCTTCACGAGTGGATTTGCCGAAAAGGTCCTAGTTGTTGCTTGCCACGATGGTCGTTCCAAACTATATGTGCAGTCCAGTTTGTCCGTTGGATCGAAACCCAAGAGTTGCTCCGATGGGCACCTTGTAGCCATGTGCGCTCAAATATGAAGGTTCCCAGAACGGGCATGGGGAAACTAAGAGCAACTAAGGAGTCCCCGGTGTTTCTCGGTTTGGACTTTGGCAAGCCCCTGTGTGGCGAAATCAAATCAAACCATGGCCTACTGGACGCCTTGGGGTTGCCAGTCCCCATTCTGGAAACCATTCGGTGACACAAGGGACTTAAGGATTCAAACGGCTAAGCAAACCGACTTGCCCAGATGTTGCCCCCCAAACAAAACCCAGGATTTCAAGCCTTTCTGCCGCAATCTTGTTAGAAAGATGTTACGAAACGTTGGCCGGACTTGGGCTTATCTCAAAATAGTGGCCCATGTGGGCCACCCGCACCCCCCTCCCCCCAAAAGACAAGAAACAACAAGAACAAATCATGTCCATTAGTGCTTTCCTTTTGGTTTCTGTTCCCTCTGGAGCAACCCCCCAGACTCAACAAAGGGCTATCATCCCAAAAAAACCAACCACTCCCTGGTTCCAACTGCCTGGCCGGGAGGATCTTTCTGCACCTGCGAGGCGCAGTCTTTTTTTCTGCGGCGACGGGCCCATGGAAGGCCGAGCTTGACCCCGACTCATCGAGGATTCCAAGCGCAAGGGCTCTGGAGTCTGGCCCCCCTTGACAGAGCTCAGGAGCTGAGCTTGTGAAGTTTGCTTGCCGCAAAATGGATGAAGCCAAGTCTTACAAGTGGAGGCTTCATAAAAAGCGCCGCGTGTCTCAAAATAGGGGACACTTCATATTGCTGGTCCTTTTGCTTCCTTTAAAACTATCCCCCAAAAGAGTACTTGCCATCCAGAGGGGACACACCCATTTTCTGGAACACCAGGAGTCTTGTTCCATTTCTGATTCTGATTTTTTGATACACAGCATCGTGGGTGCCCTGGGGCATATGATGGGTCAAGCGTCAACGGCCACCTCGTCCAAGTCTTCAAGGGCTCTCACATGCATCGATTCCCCCATCCGCCCACACAAAACAAGGATGCTGCGGCATAAAAAAACACTTAGGATTGCCTTAGAAAGAGAGTGATGTCGAGTTTGCCAATCACAGTAGTCCCACCTTGGCACGCGTCGGGGTACACAGAAAATGATGTCTAAAATGTTGTTTCACATTTAGTTTAACCCCAAAAGCTAAAAAGAGATTTGGAGGCGGCCCGAAAATCCCATGGTGAGTGCCTCCTTGGGCAAGTTGTCGCAGGCTGCGAAGACTACCTCGGCGCCCGCTGAAGTACGCAGTGCGCGGTGGACATCTTCGCCAGGCTGTCAGAAATGGGGAGGGGAACCTGGTTCGGGTTTGGTCAGCCCCCAAAACCCACAAGGAGTCATGGGGCCAACGGATCTCCTCGATGGTTCAGATTCTTGGATCTTGCTCCTGTAAACATCACCCCAATCAATCAGTATCCACACTTTCAGTGCTAGTTCGGAACATGCTGCATCCAATGCCCCGACAAGAACAAGAAAGAGTAATCATCCCAGCTCAGTGACTGGTAGAAAAAGGCCGCCCTGCCTTTTTTTAGGATCGACAACATTTAATTCGAGTGGAGACCACCAAAAACAGGCCAAGGACTCCCGAATCCCAGCCGGTTGCATGCAGCACCTCAGGAACTTCAGGCACAGAAAGACATAAATGTGTGTGGCCTAAAATGAAACCGCTGGGGCAAGCGCGGGGTTTGGTCTTTCCCATATGGCTGTGGGTCAAAAAACTGGTACCAACATGGAACCCTGGTAAGTGGAACCATGGACCAAAATCTGTGGTCCCCGATTGGTTTAATGTTGACCCACACCCATATACCAAGGTCCCATGTTGGAGACATCTGTGGACCACGACAGTTCCCTCTGCAGACTCAGCGAAGTTAAAGCCCTTGCTAGCTTCTTCATCTACTACGCTTCGACGAGCTCTGAAAGAAGCGGAAACGGCGGTTGCAAGGAAGCCAAGAGGGTTGCAAGGACATGTACCTCAGTGTTGTGCCCTCCAACCAACATATTGTTGTGTTGGTCTATAGCTGAACCTCAAATGAAAAGAGGGATCCCGGTACAAGTTTTGGAGAAGACTGCAATTTTGGTGTAACATCTACAAGGAATTTCCGTTGGGATGGGCTGTGTCTTTCTTCCGGGAGTAGGCGATGCACCAACTGTTTACTTGAGCGTCCGTGGCTAGCATTTGACTTTCAGTGTCCTTGAGACATTGACAAACTACGAGGGCTGCTCCAGAAGTAGATAGTTGGTCCCTGAAATGGGGAAACCTACGGTAGAGAAACAGATTTGCCACCCCTGTGATTCCATGGGGCTGTACAGTAGGCGACCAAAAGGCAAATAGCCGAGAAGTGGGACCCGCTATGCCGGATTCTCATTGCAGAAGCACATGTCACGCGACAGGTCGGGGCTTGACAGAGATTTTGATAGCCCTCAGAACGGGAAGTGGCGATCCTCAAACCGGCCCCCAACCCGTTCTTAGAACCTTTTTTTAAGGGCTCCCAAAAAGGATAACCAAAGTCTGGAGGGTCGAGGGCCTCATGCATTTCGTGACATCTGGGAGTGAACAGCTAAGCATGCCCTCGTTGGAACATGCCCTACCCAATTTCTTAGTCCATGGTCAACCGTATGATTCATCCAGCTTTCTTGGAACTGTCCCATTTCAGCGGAAATGGGGCGGCATTGCAAAGTCCTGCCAGTGCCAGGGTGCACGAGAGTAGAACGTTGATCTAAACTGAGACTTCGCACCAGTCAATCTACGTGACGTGCGAAGCAGGTCTTGCCCATCCGTCTGAAAGACCCGCAGTGGGAGCAAAAGAGGCACAAAAATGTTTGCGGTATTGCTTAAGGGACAACCCTCCAAAAAAATGACAAAAGGAAGCAACCTGGAGGAAGCAACCTGGAGGTTTCTGCGCAACAAGTCACAGAGACCTGAGCTTGAAGAACCCAGTGGCTGCCTGGGGTCGCCAGGCAGGACCCCTCAATTGGTAGATCACGTACCCATCATGTTGGTTGGTCACCCCCATGCTTCGTTCCTTAGAGCTAGGTATGAACTCATTCTTGGTTGACCCTCGTGCGCATCAAACGGGGATTTTGTTTATCTCTCCCTAGTTACCTTTTTTGAGAGAGCTCCCTACTGCATTTCAGAGCCCACTCTGGTAAAAACGAAACCGGATCCCAGAACCATAGAGTGATCCCCAGGTGGTACACCTTTATAGCTGCAGAACCTGATGCAAGGTGGTCCGAGCCGCCGCAATATTTCTCATCTTTTGGATCGTCAATGTGTGCGAGAGTAAGAGATGGCCAATTCCCTGCACTGGTCAATCCTAGTGTGTGAACGGCTGGTAGAGGGAATTGGGTGCGGCCAACAAATCCCACGTGGCTCGCGCTCAGCTTTCCAGGCAACCCAGCTGTTGCGAGCGTGGCCATCGCAATCAGGGCCTCGGATTGCGAATCCCGAGGCTGACCCCTTTGAGCCCAGCCGCGGAAGCCGCGGAAGGGCCGGACCCTTCGGGTGGGTTTCAAAAAGTACCCCGGTTTGGCTTCCTTTACCTTCTCTGCAACAATTCTAGAAGTGGACAAGGGTTCTGCCCAAAATCAAAGCAGCCCTGCCAGCTTCCAGGATTGTCCGAGGAAGGGCAATTTAATTTGGGCGCATTCAAACCACTCAGTTGGCCCTGCATGGCCTCCTTTTGCCCCTACATCTCCCTTCAACCCCCCCCCCCCCCCCGGCTTTTCTGGGCCTCCCTCTTGCTTGCATATCTACTCAAATCCGACATGGCAAACCGGGCTTCAAAACGGAAATCTGGGCATGGCTTTTTGACATGGTCCCCTTGCGAGGATTCCCATGCCCACCTTATCGCCTAGGCAGATTGATTCCCTTGGTAAAACGTGGCCACTTGCACCATGACGCAGGGGGGCGGTGGCTGGGGAGCCTCCGAGAAGCGTCCTCCTCTTGCAGTTTCCGTGCGGGAAGTTGAAAACAACTACCGTCAAGATTTCTGCCTGCGCCCTGAGCTGCCAAGCCTGCGCCTCCGAAAAAGCTATCGAGTAGCACACCCGTCCAGTGGGAGCAGTTGGCACACAATCGAAGATTTCCCAGGAAACACTGGCCTGGGGCGTCTGTCTGCTTGCTGACTCCGCGAGGGAATGATTCGCTTGCGCAACGCGACAGACCTAGGAAAGGGAAACCAAGCTTAGGAGGTTTAAGCTTAACTGGTTGTTGGTGAGTGACTTCCCAAACCTTGGCATGCCAGCCAAAAGCTTCCATTTTTGGCAGCCCCCTAAAAAAGGGCTCCTGTGTTTGTTTCTGGAATCATACATATTGAAATCACGCTTGGGGGGGGCCTGTCTTTGCTTTTTTTTTTTGAAATCATAACCGGGGTCTCCAGTGCTTGTTTTAACATCTCGCCTGGGGAATTCCGGTGCTTGTTGTTTTTTGCATTCACGCCTCTGGGTCCGCTTTTTTGTTTTTGTTGTTTTTCCTCTTTTTTCTGTTTCTGTTGAATGCGCGCCTCTGGGCCCTCCAGTGACTTCAAAACAACAACACCGGATTACTTCAAAAGAGCAAACACGAGGGCCCAGACGCGTGAATTCAAAAAAGAACACTGGGACCCACCACGCGTGAATTCAAAAGAAAAAACGCCGGGACCCCCCAGGCGTGATTTCAAGAAATGTGATGCAACAAGAAACTACGAGAGCCGGCAGGATTTATATATATATAGTTTAATAAAAGCAAAATGGACCCCGGCGTGAATTGAAAACAACATGGGGACCGTGGTGTTTTTCCTTTGGAATCGTCGCTCACTCACTTGCTTGCTCGTTTCCTCTGCAAATCACAACATGAGAATCCAAAGTGAGGAATACCAAAATCAACACAGCTGGTGTGAATTCAAAAAAACACTCCGGTTCCCTTAAAAGGGAACAGAACAATTAAACAAGCCCAGGCAACAGTCCCGGACCCTTCCTGCAAGCTGCCCCAAACCACCCCAGTGCGTATCTACAGACACCCCATAGCTTTCAGCTGTTGGGGAAAAACAAAACAACTACAAAAACACGCAAAGAACAGTAAGCAAGACAGTGACTCACGCTGGGACGCCCGGCAATGATCGAAAGATTCACCTGGCCAAATCGAATGTCAAGTCTGAGTTTGCAGAAACCATCTGCATGCTCCTTTTTCTGTCCCCAAGCCTAAGCATCACAGGATGTTGGGGGGGTTCCCCGCGTTTAGTCCAAAAAGTCTTCGCGAAGAAGCCACTTGGGTGGGGGTTCGGTTCTCTGCTTCCTGGCAAAGCTCCGTCCAAACAAAGAGCAAAGCCGCGCCGCCTGTAGCCTGGGGGGGGGTCCAAATCCACAGGAAACTTCACCAACTCACGAGCGAAAAACCTAAAACCGTCTGTGCTTCCAACCATGTTTCGCGCAAGTGCACTCACAAAAACCACCAGGAAAATGGCTGGTTCTCCATAGTGTCTGTTCTCCGCCTAGAGGTTTTGGGCGGGACTGAACTCGGTTGCTTTCTGCTCCCCTGCTACAAGCTTAACTTTCAACGGCTTAATACGGAACATCCATTAGTTGGCAGAAAGTTCTCAAGTCCTAACATCCCTTGGCAAAATGCAGCTCTGTGAAGTAACCCTTGCCTGAGGGCCTCCCTCCATAAGGGCCACTTGGATGTTTCTAGGCTACGGCCCCTCCCACTTCGAGCCATGGACCCAGCCCCTGTTCTCCCACCCAGTTGGATGAAAGTAGATGGCACAAATTCCCACATGTTGGCTTTGTCATACCCTTGGCCTTCCCACAAGGGAAGTGTCTCTACTTCAGTCGGGAGTCTCTTCAGCATGTATATTCTACAATCGGTTTGGTTTGGAGACCCCAAATACCATACCTACTAGGTCGCAACCCTGGCTACCGGCAGCTTCCTCCAAATTGCAGGACCCAACCCCCAAAAAAAAGAACCAGAACATGGGGCGGTTTGTCTGGCCTCCTTAAAGTACGGGTAATCAAAGTCACCCCTTAAGCGGTGGGTTAAAGGGAAACACCCGAAACCTCTCGCAACAATCAACTTGACCCCAGTTTGTCCATCCTAAGTATTGAGGATCCAACATGACAACTACTTCCCGGCAGCTTCCTCCACACACGTGGGCTTTGGGAATCGTCCCATCCCATGCTCATGGGGCCTGGGGGGGGGAGGGCCTCCCCTCCCTCCCTCCCTCCCTCCCCCCCAGCCCCCATCCCATGCCGCCCATCACATGCCGCCCTCGCCATCCCGTCCATCCGCGCCTGGCCGAAGTACTGCACCAGCGACACGAAGAGCTTCAAGGAGAGCTCCCAGCCCAAGTAGCGCACCGCGAAGACCCCTCTCAGCGGGCGGAAAGGAAAGCAACGGGGCGGCGGAAAGGAGCGGTGGCCGGGTTTCCAAGGGATCGACCTGGGATAGCCCCCTTTTTCAGAGGCCACGGGACACCGAAAGGAGCTCAAACCGATTTTTGGTGGACTCCGAAGTTGGGGGAGCTTATCAAGATGGGGTTCGGAGTTTTGGGTCGGTTGACGGAAACCACCGAGGACGGATTCCTACTTTGAGAAACACCCATGTCGCCTGGAGATGACTGTGAGCCAAGAAACAGAGAGGAGATCGAACAACAAACCATAGCTCCCTTTAAAGCAGTGGGACATTGTTGCAAACTAGGGCTTTGGATCCCTTTAAATCGGCAACACACAGGTGATGTTAAAACCACAATGGGACCACCTAAACAAAAAGGGGTAACAATATGGATATGTGTTCATGGGGTACGTGCCAAAATAGGGTTCTGGCACCCCAAGTGAACAGAGCCTTTGAGTTATCTTCGTCCTTTCTTAAAGGGTCATAAGGAATCCAGCTGCAGAAGGTTTGCAACTGCGAGGAATGGACACATTTGGGTGTGCTTAGCCAAGGGGCAAACAGGGGGTGTGGAAAACCTCAAACGTGTCCCTCTGTTTCGGCTACCCTTTGGGAGAATTGTCAACATATGTTTGAAAGACGTTGGCATGTCTTTGTTGAGGCTGCCCGTTTTGGACTTTTTGTGAAGGGAAACCGAACAAAACAAGAAAACCATCAATGATTCTGCTTCCAGCCAGCCCAGTCCAAGAGCAACACAATAACTAAACAGCCCAACAGCAACAGCCCAGCAGCCGAACGGGCCAAGCCTAGACCAGACCACGAAGCAGAACTATGTTCTTCAAGGATCGAACGAATGTCCCAACCGTCTGTGTCACAGTCAACCTCTCGAGGCGCTGGAAGCGCCCATAGCTTCGCAGCCTCGAAACCTCTCCGGCGAATTGCTTCCCAGCAAGCCAGTATATTAAAAAACCGGCACCCTTTGGAAGATATGTGTTCTTCCTGCCTGAACCCTCAAAATTCCTTTAAAAATGGGTTTGACCCCCAAAATTATGGGTGATATCCTATTTTTATGGGTAGTTTGAGGGTCCAGGTGTGTTTTTGCTTTCGGCTGAAGCTGTCCACAGAATGGCCAGAAGGGAATGGTTCCCCACATCTGACAAGAACGGCGTGGAACCCCGCACAACGCCTGGGGGAAAAAATCCTTTCCAGCATCCTTTCCAGACCACCACCAAAAGACACCGCAGGGGGAAGAGGTGGATTTTCGAAGGAAGTGTTGAACAGAATGGGGCACCAAGCCCAAGATCACACAATTTTCAACAGGGCGCCAACACTTCCACTTCCAACACCCCAAAGAGAAACGATGTGTCTGAAACATAAAGCGGGCTCCCAGAAGCGGACTCAGATCAGCCGTCAAAACGGAGGTGTCTTCAAATAGGCAACCTCCTCAAAATGGCAGCTTCCGTTTGGCTTCCCTTTCGCCTTCCTCCGAACATTGGTCCTCCGTTTTCTGTTGGCGGACCCTGGACAAAGATGAGAACATAGGTCCAGCAGTGAAATCGACTCCCTGTAAAAGCAACAGGGAACATCAAAATCACTCCTTTCAGCAAATAGAACCTCAACGGTACCCATTTGAGGAATCGCCTTTTTGGGGGACCACCTCATGGGCTCTTGGGGGAAATAAAAACAACTCCCTCCCACCAATAAAGGGGAACCTGACGTTCGGGTCCTGGTTTGGAGCCGTTTTCCTTTTAAAGGGACCGGGTCCCCTTCAGCTTAACAAGCAGTGGAATCCCAGGTTCCGGCTGCTATTTGGAGGAGGGCCTTCCTTTCAGCAGCCAATTGTTAATTTGATGTAGCCACAACATGGTTGCCACATGGTTCCTTTCCCCCTAGTTGCCACAATTGTCCTTTCCAATTGTTCATTGGTGGATGTAAATATGTTCCAACTATGTTGTGGTGGCAGCCATTCATTACTGTGGCAATATGTTGCCGTTGTTTTCCCATGACGCTTTCTGTAGCGGCAACCATGGACAAGAAAAACCACCCACAAGACGTCAGGCCAGCCTGCGAGCCAGGAGGTGGCCTGCTGCCTGTGCGCCTACAGCCATACCGGGTCCTACAGCCATTGGGGCGGGTTTCCTTTGTGACCCAAACTCCAAATGGGAAAGGCTTAGGCAAAAAAAACAGTTTGAACAGCTTTGTGTTTTTAGTCTTCTTTTTTTCCCGGTCTTTGACTCTTGAAATCAAAGAGCCTCTGCCAGCTCCAACATCAAGTGTCCCCCATGGCGACTTCAAGGAGACAAAAGGACCCAGTCAAGGGTTCATGACTCTGTGCAAGCCGAAATGCGCTCCCCGAGCCGTAGCGGCCGTAAACCCTTTGTGATTCGCTTTTGACACATACCCTTCGCTATGTTGAACGACTTTGTATCGCGCGCGCCTGCAAAATCCTGACATGATCATCGTTCCTCCTTTACCCCAACAGCAAGAAATATATTATTGCACATTCAGCAAGCCACACAATTTCTCTTGAACCGGGTATGGCGGCGAGAGGGGAACTTGTGCGGCAGCAAGGACGGAGAGAACTCCAACAGCCAAAAGATCTTAATTGGCGATTCGGCCACGCCGAACAGTAGCGTATAGCCGTTTTATTTTCCAAAATGGCAAGTGTAGTTCTGCCTTGGGTCATACTAACTTGAGGCCCTGAGAAAGGAACCCAAATCCGCCGACCCCATGCCTGGTCCAGAATGGACCATGCTTTCGGCATGGGGGCGGTGTGTTCTGTGTTGCTTTTGTTGATATGCTTTCTATAAGTTTAATGTGAAAATGATTATGTAGATATATATATATATATGTAACCTATATGTCCCTTGGGGCGGCCCTTGGGGCTGGTTTCTACGTCGGCTGGATTTCTGGATTTCTGGATTTCTGGATTTCTGGATTTCTGGATCTCTGGATTTCTGGATCTCTGGATTTCTGGATTTCCCCCCCCTCCCCCGCCTCCCCCCCCCCCTCACCCCCTCCCCCCCCCCCCCCCCCCCCCCCTCCCCCCCCCCCCCCCCCTCCCCCCGGCTTCTTCCCGTAGTCTTCCGGCTTCTTCCCAGTAATCTTCCGTAATCTTTCGGCTTCTTCCCGTAGTCTTCCGTAGTCTTCCGGCTTCTTCCCGTAGTCTTTCGTGGTCTTCCGCCTTCTTCCCGTAATCTTCCGTAATCTTTCGGCTTCTTCCAGTAGTCTTTCGTAGTCTTCCGGCTTCTTCCCGTAGTCTTCCGTAGTCTTCCGTAGTCTTCCGTAGTCTTCCGCAATGTTTCGGCTTCTTCCAGTAGTCTTTCGTAGTCTTCCGTAGTCTTCCGTAGTCTTCCGTAGTCTTCCGTAGTCTTCCGAAATCTTTCAAGCTTCTTCCCGTAAATTTCCGCAATCTTTCGGCTTCTTCCCGTAGTCTTCCGTAATCTTCCGGCTTCTTCTCCTAGTCTTCCGATACTGTTTCGGGACCAAACAACGCGCGTGTCCTGTGCTTTCGGGCTTCTTCCCTAGGCTTCGGGTAGTCTTCCCCCACCCCTCCGCCCCCCCCTGTGTCTGTCTATGTCTGTCTACGTATCTGCATCTGTCTTCGTGTCCGCGAAGACCCCCCCTGCCCCTGCGTGTCTGTCTGTGTCTCTTTGTGTCTGTCTGGGTCTGTCTGCGTCTGTCTTCGTGTCCGCGAAGACCCCTTGCGTGTCTGTCTCTGTCTCTTTGTGTCTGTCTGCGTCTGTCTGTGTCTGTCTACGTATCTGCGTCTTTCTTCGTGTCCCCCCCCCCCCCGCGTGTCTGTCTGTGTATTTGTGTCTGTCTGGCTCTGTCTGCGTCTGCCTGCGCATCTGCGTCTGTCTTCGGTCCGCGAAGACCCTCCCCCCCCGCTGCGTGTCTGTCTGCGTGTCTTTGTGTCTGTCTGTGTCTGTCTACATATCGCATGCTTTCTCTCGTCCCGGGCCGAAATTCTAAGGTGTGTGGGGGCGGCGGAACCAGGCCGCAGGCCATTAAATAAGAACTCACTTGAGTGGATTGGCCAACAAAACCCTGGCGCTACTAGACCGTTCCTTGAGTAAAGGTGGGTCGAGAAGGAGTCCAAACCGGAATCCGTGCAACTCCCGGGTTGCTCATTGGGCGCCTCATCATCAGAGCCAGTGCTGAGCAGCTTTGCAGCGTACCTCGTCGCGCATTATGCGCACAACGGGTGAGTTCATCTGGGGGTTGATCGAAAGGTCCGTGATACATGGGATGATCATTGGGGGTAACGTTTGAACCACATGGAAAAGCTGCCCATCAAAACTGGGGGCCCGAAATGAAAGATTGATCCACCTGTATGCTGTCATGGTTATCATTTCGGACATGGGAAAACGTGATTTCTCGTGGGCCTCTGACCAACCCTGCCCGCAACATAAAGCTCTGTTTTTCTGACCATGGCTCGCGGATGAACCCCTGGTACGGAGCTCAGCTTTTGCTTGTAGGCCAGGCCGTACCGTATGATTTATGATTCCATGTTTGGGAACCTGCGCCGAAATAGATTTCAGCTGGCTTAATGGAAATCAGCCTTCCATGTCGTGTTGTGCTCCTTACACCACTTCCCCTGAAAAACAGTCAGGTGCGTTTCCAGAGTAGGGACCACACCCTTGGTTGCTGCTGACCCCCCTGCAAAAAGTTTACCCTTTTTTGGGTGTAGTGGAAAACACCTGTATTTCCCGAAAAGTTAAAGTCTAAAGATCCAACCCAACAGCAGTCAACCACCACTCAAGCCCCTTCACAGTTTCTTCGATTCGCCAGGACTGCAAGCAGCAAATTCGAAGCACTCAATTGCTGCCTGTTTGCTCCATTTTCTCTTGAATGCACACGTTTTACAATAGGCAACATCCCCAAGGCTTTTTGTCACACCCGCAGCATCACCTTGGAGTTGGTGTATGGTTGGGCGTTGGGTGACTTAGAGTTTGCGGGTGCTTCAGGATGGTAACCGGGTGATGTTTAGGCGTGGCTTGGGGTTGGCATAGGGTCGGTTTTGGTTTCAGGTTTAAAGTGTAGAGTGGGTTTACGATTTTGCGGTGATGATTTGGGGTTTGCGCTGGCTGAGTGGAAGGTTAAGGTTTTGTAGGGTAGGCTTAGGCCGGTTTAGGAATGGTTTAGCCCTGGTTTAGGGTTGGTTAGAGTTGGTTTAGGATGGGTTTAAGGTTTCTGTGGGGATTCTTTAGGGCGGGTTTACGGTTGGTTTAGGGTGGGTGTAAGGTTTCTGTAGGAATTCTTTTGGGCGGGCTTAGGGAGTTGAGGATTGGCCTACATCGTGGTTTACGGTTGCTTTCTTAGGGATTTAGGGTTGGTTTAGGCTTTGTTTAGGATGGGTTGAGGGTGAGTGGGTAGGTAGAGGCTCTTTAAGGCGAGTTTGCCTACTTTTTTTGGGTGGGATTCGGTGGGTTGTTTATTCATTCTATCATTGTTGTTTGTTTGAGGGTGGGTTGGGCGGGGGGACTATATTCGTTGCTACTACTGCTTCCTGCGGCTAAGTCCAATTTCGAGCTGTCTTGCTGGCAGAGGCTTTTTACGAAGGTTTGGTTTTTGCCAACTAACAACCCGCTTTTCAGCGCTCTCAGTGTATTTCACAAGATACGGTCACATGCATCTCCGGAGCTGTCACTTCTTGATTGCCTGCTTTCAAGCAGGTCAGTTTCTTGCCAAAAGCAACCCTTCTGATGGTTTCGCTACACACAACAATGTGTGTTCATCCAGTGGTCAACTCGGCAGTCCAAACAACTTGAAACGTTCCACATGGAAGAGCTTGCTTGCCAGGAGCGTGGCATCAAACAACTCAGTTTCTGCCAAGTCCGGATGTATCTCAACACTTAGAGTCGTGTAGGAATGAACACACGTTGCTGTGCGTAAGCATCCCAGAGGCATCTCTTGCCACACGGCCGCCTCCGGTTCTGGGCCCGAGGGCGCGAAGTAGGAGCCCTGGCCCGTCCACATCACGCCGGCAGCCAAGCCTCACGGCGCAGGGCAAAAGCGGGGATGGCAATGGTCTCCCGCCTCCCGGCTCCTGTTGGGTTTTGGCGACCCTTTGTGCATCATGAAAAAGGCAAGGAAGGAAGCTTCATGAAATCCAATGGCTGTTCGGGTGCCTGTTTAGAAATGGGGTGCAAGACGCGTGGACGACGAGCCCGTGCTTCCGCTAGAAAAGGGAGCTTGCTTTTCCACAACCACAGCCAAGGATGAGCGCTTTCCATCTGACTCCCTTTATCTCGCAGTTCAATCAAAGGCCTAGGTTTGTAACAAGGAGCGCTGACAGCTGGCCAGTCAGATCACTTTCTGCTTATGAGCGGCCGCAAGCGTGGCGCATCACTGAACTTGCGCAATGGACAAGCGTTGGAAGCAGCGACATGAGCAGCGAAAACCACTGGCATTGCGGCAAGCGTGCTCAATGCTTGCTGTGGAACAAGATTTACCCCGCGCTTGTTGGGGTGATCAAGCGCGCACTTCACTCGAGTGGCTTCGGGGGATGAAGAAAAGCCTTGCCGGTTCCACCGCAAAATCAACCACGACTACTACACCAACGACAGCAGCAGCCACAACAGCCCCGATGACAACCACCGCCATCACCGAAGTCAGCTGCAACAACAGCAGCAGCAGCAGCAACAACAACAACAACAAGAACAAGAACAAGAACAACAACCAACAACCAACAACCAACAACCAACAAACAACAAACAACAAACAACAAACAACAAACAACAAACAACAAACAACAAACAACAAACAACAGACAACAGACAACAGACAACAGACAACAGACAACAGACAACAAACAACAAACAACAAACAACGACAACGACAACAGAAACAACAAGTTCCAGCCAGTGCTGGACTAAAAACAACTATGACAACTTGAAAGCTTCAACACTGTGTTTGGGCAGCTCCCTGCCTCCGCGCCTCATATGAACCACGGTGTTTGGCTAATGTGCGGGCAACCTGGTAAGTCCTCCACTTGTTTGTGGCCAAGCTGGTGGGCCTTTGGCAAAACGCAACAGGAACAACTTAAACGCTGAAGGGAAGGTCCAGGAAAAGGCCCAGGAAAGTAGATGGCACGATGGCGCAATCCCCAGTACGTCATGTGTGTGTGTGTGCGCGTGTGAGCGAGTCTGTGTGTGCGCTAGAGCACGCGTGTGTGCGTGTGTCGTGTGTGTGGTGTGTGTGGTGTGGTGTGGTGTGGTGTGGTGTGGAGTGGTGCTGTGCTGTGCTGTGGTGTGGTGTGCTGTGCTGTGCTGTGCTGTGCTGTGGTGTGCTGTGCTGTGCTGTGCTGTGGTGTGGTGTGGTGTGCTGTGCTGTGCTGTGGTGTGCTGTGCTGTGCTGTGGTGTGGTGTGGTGTGCTGTGCTGGGCTGTGGTGTGGTGTGGTGTGGTGTGGTGTGTGGTGTGGTGTGGTGTGGGTGGGTGGGTGGGTGGGTGTTTGTGTGTGTGTGTGTGTTGTGTGTATGCGTGCGTGCGTGCGTGTGGGCGGGCGTGGCCGTGGGCATGGGCATGGGCATGGGCATGGGCATGGGCATAGGCATGGGCATGGGCATGGGCGTGGGCGGGCGCTTGTGCTCGTGTGCGGGTGGGTGCGTATGCGTAAGCGTCTGAGTGTCTGTGTGTGTGCGCGCGGGTGTCTGTATGTGTGTTCCTTGAGGGGCTAAAGAGGAGACTACTGTACCTGGGGAGCATGGTTGCCATACCTGGCAGCATGGTTGCCATACCTGGGCCCAATGCACAGAAGGGCCCAGAATAGTGTTCTGTGGTACATCCACAAACCCCTGCTTCCAAAAGGGATCCTCTGAGTCAGCTGTTTGCTTTAAGTGGGCCCAACTGGTACAGTATCCTATTGGAGTCCTGCAGAAGGGACCCGGACATGATCACTTCCACTTGGATGCTCAGCCTACTTAGTAGGTTATGCTGGTTCTAAGTTCACGAAGCCCACAACTAACCCTGTCAGCATTGTAAAATCATAGGTCTAAGTCGTGCGCCCCTTGTACCACCGCGAAATTTCACAAGTGTTCGAAGACCTGAAACAAGGGATCCTCAAGTAAAGGGCCAACATCATAGTGAGCTCGCTTCGCCAAGAAGGTTACCGACTTGCAACCATGGTGACTAGCCTCCGTTGGTTGAACATGCTTACAAGTGTGCTTCTCCAAAGCCCAACCCCTCTTGCCCCAGTTTGGAGGAAACCCAGTTGGTTTGACACTGGTTGATGGACCACCAACTGGTACCTGGCGTGGATATACACTTAGGAGACGTATAGCCATGGCTTTTGTGGGTAACATCCATGGCTCTTACCCACTTAGCTGACGCACAAAACACAATCGCCCCCCCCTACCCTGCACACCGCCAAAGGTGAATAAGCGCGTTTTGACGAGAGGTCGATTAAGGGTCTCTCCCCTTTAAGTAGGGCCCAGAGAGACAAAACACAAAGCGAGGCGCCGACATCGGCGCGGCCTGCCAGGCTGGACCCGATGCAGAGCAGCACGGGGCCCGCTTGGTCGCAGCGCTGGAGCGGGATCGAGCGAAGCGATTTCCCAGATCTAAGCCACGCCTCTCGTCGTCCATTTGCGCGAAAACGAGCCCTGGAACATATGAGAACATATTTTAAAGTAAATGGATTGCCTGTAAAACCATCAGGTTAACTTGTAATATATTATTTTTGGCAAATGGAAGTTGTCTCTGAGGGGTGAGTAGCATAGCCTTTTCGCTTCCAGTTGCTTGAGGCCATGTTCCATGAGTTCCTGCTAGTTTTGAAGGGAGATTACGACTGCCAAGGCAACACCTTCAGCAACTTGGAGATGAGATTGACTTTTGGGGACTTTTACCATCAAGTGACAAATCATGGGATGCAATCTTAACCTCGCCCCTCCGTTCTGCTCGGGTTCGGTGGAATATGGGATAGACAACTCTTCTCCCCCGAGTGGTTTGGGGGTCATGGAACAAAACCTCCGCACTTTATAGAGAGCCCTTCAATACTGTGCATGGACGAAATTCTGCACCAGTTGAGAGGACACTTAACCCATTCATCCCGACAGGTGCAGGATTTTGTCCATCCACTCCACAGTATGGGCGAGCCCTTGCGCCAAACAAAAAGCTCTTCATAAGAAGCCGGTTAAACAAGCCCGGATATCCCCAGCCTTCCGGACACCCCAGAGCTTTGGGCAATGAATGAGGGGAAATCTGGGTTCTTTGGAAGTGCAAATTGGATGGAACATATCAACTTGCCACTTGATTTGTTGGAGTTGTAGCTTGATTCTCCAAGCGAATCGACCTTTTCACCTTTTTGTTTTCTTATTTTGGTCCATTCATGGTTGTTGAGAAACATGTTGCATGTTTGCTTATTGTGGTTTGGTGGTTGAAATCGTCGCAACCCAAAAGCCCCAGGCTTGGTGAACGCGCCAAAATTCCACCGGCGGAGCATTCAACACCATTTCGTCAAACATTCGGGACCCGTTTTGGGCATCTGCATCGGGATGCGCCGTGGGCGGCGAAACAAATGATTGGGGGCTCCCCTTCCTTTCGAGTGCCCCTCCCTACTGTGGATGGACGAAATCCTGCACCAGGTGGAAACCATGGTTGAAACCATTGAATTGTTTGTTGGTATTTAGGGAATCATCAGAAACCCGGGTTGCTTAGGTGCCTAAGAGGAGTTCGATTTCAACCATCCACAGTATCTCCTACCAATCCTGCGCCTTGGCTGTGCAAAGAGCGGATTACATTCTGCCCGAAGGAACTCGAGGCGAACCCTTCCCGCCCTTCCCGGCGGGCTGGCCCAGAGATGGCCAGAGGAAAATGTTTTGGGGCTGTCAAGCAAAAAGAAGTCCGAAAGGAGTCGGAGTCAACCATACAGGTCTCTTACAAGGAAAGTCAATCCCCCCTGTTCACCACACGAAACATCTCCCGGACCTTCAATTTCGAGGCTCAACCTCTTGCCAGGCCTCCTGAACCCGAACCTGGAACATGATCAACGTGAGGTAAAATACTCAGCCCTTGCAAACACCGACCTCGAACCTGCACAAGGGTTGGAACTTCGGTACCCCGCACCCGCTTCCCGGTAACAAAACACAAAGTACAAAGGGAGTTCAACCACACTCTTGGGTCAGTTGAAAGCCTAAAGGTTAAAGATCGGCTTTCCATCAACACCATCCAAACAAGTGGCATTCGGAAACCCCAGGTAGGCCAACCCATTGCACCTATCCATAGCAAATACAGATGGCAACAGTTAGATGCATATCTCCTGGAGAAGGCCATATGCCTTACACATATCTATTTCAACACTTAGTCCCATCAGAATCCATACGGGTATGTGTGAAACTGGATCCCCAAAAATAGGTGGTGTCCGGTTGGCTTTCATTTCTCTTTAGCCACCCCAACGTATTCTCAAAACCACATCCATACGGGGGTTGATCAATATTCCTGGCCCCCAAATGAATAGATATGTTCCATTTAGTGGGACATATCTTCTTTTGACTGGTTGTCCCCAATGGTCATCCGAGGTAAACAATTTGATCAACCCCCAGGTAACCCCCATACCGTGGATGGACGAAATTCTGCACCACCGAAGAAACCCTGGAATGATGATTCCCCTGTAAATACCAACAAATAATGGTTTCCCATGGTTTCCAAGTGGTGCAGGATTTCGTCCATCCACAGTATCTTGTCTTCCCAGGAAGCAACGGCGCTCCGGCCTCGTGCTCCTGGTCGCCATGTTGCATGGCACGGGCCACGCAGAACCTGAGAAGGCAACGAGAGAGGCTGGCCCCCGGCAACTGGGATCTGAGAGTGCGCAATGTTGGTCCATGAAGTCTGTACATATACATATCTATTTATATGGTAGGACCCCCCCCCAATACCAAGGTTTTCCTGCTTAAAAAGGTACATGTTGCAGTTTTTTAGTATAGCAAGTCCTTTTTTTGAGGGAAACCTGGAGTTGAGTTGGGGTCCTACTAAAGATCAGAACATGTGTTTAATTGTTGCGAGTGTAGATCACATATCTTGACTGAATTGTAATTCAGTGAATTCAGTTTTGGAATTATAAACGTCCACGTCTAGTTTATAAACTCTTGATAATTTGAGGGGGGGGGGGGGGGGGGGAGGGGGGGGGGTCTTGAGGGGGGGGGGGGGTGGGATGGCAACTCTTGACCTGACATTTCCCCCATCAGAGTTGCAGGAATTCGACTTCCAAGTCGTTGCAGAGACCATCGTCACAAGAAGGCACCAAAACATGTTTTTATATGTATATTGCCGACATATATATATATATATATATATATATAATGCCAACAGGCATTGCTATGATCTAAAGGATTCAAACACATGCCACAAGAGACACACATAGATCACGAGGGTGCCTGTTGCCATGTGTATCATATATATATATATATGGTACAGCGTTGCCAGCCCCCCCCCCCTCCCCCCCCAATGGTCATGGGTCAGGCAAGTACCCCCCCCCCCCCTGTGGTTGTGGTCCTGTGGTTGGGTTGTGGTGGTTTAGGGTTGGTTTAGAAATGGTTTAGGGTATATTTAGGGTGTATTTAGGGTTAGTTTAGGGTTGGTTCAGGGTTGATTTAGGTTGATTTATGTTGATTTAGGGTTGGTTTAGGGTTGGTTTAGGTTCAGAGGTGTACGGTTTAGGGTTTGGTTTAGGGTGTATTTAGGGTTGGTTTAGGGTTAGTTTAGGGTTGGTTTAGGTTTAGGGTTTATTGTTTAGGGATTGGTTTAGGGTGTATTTGGGGTTAGTTTAGGGTTGGTTGAGGGTTAGTTTAGGGTTGGTTTATGTTGATTTAGGGTTGGTTTAGGTTTAGAGGTCTACGGTTTAGGGTTTGGTTTAGGGTGTATTTAGGGTTGGTTTAGGGTTGGTTTAGGGTTAGTTTAGGGTTGGTTTAGGTTTAGAGGTCTACGGTTTAGGGTTTGGTTTAGAGTGTATTTAGGGTTGGTTTAGGGTTGGTTTAGGGTTAGTTTAGGGTTGGTTTAGGTTTAGAGGTCTACGGTTTAGGGTTTGGTTTAGGGTGTATTTAGGGTTGGTTTAGGGTTGGTTTAGGGTTTGTTTAGGGTTGGTTTATGGTTGGTTGCGGGTTGGCTTGTCCTGGGGGTGGGGGTGTCGGGGTGTCGGGATGTCGGGGTGCGAGTTCAGGGGTCGGGGTGGGGGTGGGACCGTAGGTGCCAGGATCCGGGGGCTCGGGGTCTCGGGCCGGGGGGGGGGGGTCCTGGGGGACCATACCATATGGGCACGGGACCATATATAGACATATGGCGGACTGGTTGTATTCTGGATATTGCAATTTTTGGGTTGGTCTTCGGCACCCAAGTTCTGGTTGCCGTGCGGACAAAGACAGGCCAAGGCCTAAGGGTCGAAGAATGAAGTCAGTGGTATATCCTGGCCAGGAGATTTTACCAAAGACGGCCCAGTCATACTGTGGATGGACGAAATCCATTTCCCTCCGCCGCAAAAGAAATCATTCGCACTGTCATTCCTGTGACTATGCTGTCGCTCGAAAGGTACCAGGAACCCACTGCAGGAAACCCGGTTTGGGCAACCCATGTTTCCAAGAGGTGCTTTGCGCGGAACCGATTCTATGGTAGACACGTCTAACTCTCCGCATATGTCGTCGAACTCCATCTCCCCCTGGCAATCCATGACCCCGACACTAGACGAAGGACCCTCTGTTGGACCAGTTAGATTTGCCCAAATCAGGGGTACTGGCTCGCATCCTGTATCTCACCCAGCAAATGGCACGAGAACATCTGTGGGCATTGCAATTATAAAGAACAAAGTGGAAGTAAGGACTCTCAATCGAAGAAACAAACAAATATGCATGTCCAGAACAGATGTTGATTCGGGTCCCTATGTGGCGAAGCGAAGAAACTGCAAGAATACTCATGGTCCGAAAGGTTTATAGATTCTGCTCCATATTCTCGTGAACCACAATGTATATATATATATGTATATTATATTATATTATACATGTATATTATGTTATTTATGTATACGCATATTGGATGCTAAACAACAAAACACCAAAGCAACCATCCCCTTTTGGTCTCCTGTGAAAACAAAGCCCATGTTTGCTATTTAGCCTCGCCAAAGGCGTTGGTTTTGGCACCTGAAACGGAAAGCCCATCCCTTCCAATGGGAAGCCCTCCAAACCCCAGCAGCCAGCGCTGGGTCCAATGACACCTCAACTAGGTCCTCCAGTAGAGAGGTTAGAATAAGGGTACCCTTTTTTTCTGCAGTCTATTTTAGTAGGGGAACCCTCCCCCAAAAAAGGGTAAAAGGGCACTACTGGGGGACTTAGTCAACGATCTGGCACTGACCTGGCATCTTCTTGTTTTTTTCTCTGTTTTTTTCTCCAAGGCGCAGGATGGCGTAAACCACATAGCTGCAGAAGGAGTACAAAAGGCAGCCCTTGCGCCCTGAGCAGTGAATTCCTTTGGTGTTGGAGCAGAGGGGACCTACCCGTTGACCTTTGCTTCTGAGATGGTAAGGATTTGCTCATATTGGTAGAGTCCACTCACTTCCTGAGTGGACCAATAAAAGTCCAAACCTTGGGTTTACCTCTAAAGCGGTCTTCCCAAAAAGCTTCAAGCACCACGAAGTCAGGTAGCATCTGCTAAACTGGCCCATCGGGTCTTTGGGTGCTCCAATCAATTCGTCCACATTTCTTGGTTGACGAATGAACACTAAACCACAACAAGCAAAATGTAAAATGTGTGCACAAAAGGAACACAAAGCATGATTTCATGTAGTTCCCAACAAAATGTATCCGAAAAATGTAAAGAGCATGATGTCCGGCTACACTTTTTGCTGAAGCTTCAGGACCCTGCTTTTCAAAGTCTTCCCGGGTTTGGAGTTCGGAAAAGGACCAGTTCTGTCCAATCTCCAACCCATTGGGATAAACGTGCGGGACAGTCCTTCAATTTGAAGGGCAGGGAAACTAGGAATTTGCTTGGGACATGCCGCACATTACTTTGGTGGAACGTGCTCCAGCTGTCTGAGTGCGTCTTCCATTTGACCCGAGCAAGCAACAGACTGGATCACCTGGGTGGTTCAAAGGATCGGGCTAAATAATCTACCTCCCCGGGCAAAAGGTCGATCACCAGTTGCATGTGTAATGGAAAATCCGATTGTTTCTGGGCTGCCGTCAGATCCCCCGCTAAAAGCTTAACTCTTAGTGGGTTAAATGGAAACTACCGCTAAACACTAAAAAGCTAAAAGGCTAAGGGGATGGCTAGGAGCCACCAAGGCTTGGAAAAGGTCTAAGGCCCGATTCGGTCATTCCAAATATTCCAAGAATCCATGGCGTTCTTTCCAACAATGTGAAGTGGACAAGGCACCTAGTGAGAACAAAAATCGTTGTCTTCCAAAACCCTCCCGTGCAGTTCTCTCAGATGCCCAGTGGATTTCCAAGCGAAAATAGAAGAATCGGCATCCTTTTTTGGTTGGTTCATTTTGAAGGGAACCCTTCCCTTCCCAAAACAAGGAAACAAGGAAGCAACCCACTGGGCAACTGGGAGTTCCATTCAGAGCGGGGATTGACATGCGGCCGCTGGCTCCGGCACTCCGCAAGTGGAGTAAACGGAGTGGCCCTAGAAGCATCTTGGTTGACCTTTGAAGGGGAGCAAACAGTTGTCAGTTTTAGCAGTGTGGGGATTTCCCACTAAACCACAATAAACCAAAATGGAAAATGTTTCCCAACAACCATGACATTGGAGGCAAACCTATCGTCCGAAAAGTCCTAGACGCCCAAAACTAGGTGTTTTTTTTGAAAGTTTAGTGGTAGATGTGTTCAGATTCGTCGTTGGCATGCCCCCCTCCCAACTTGGCTCTCTGAAACACATTGCCCCAGAACCGTACAAGCCGGTTCCTCCATATCCAGTCCCCTCTTGAAAGTTGGTCCCAAGGTGTTCCGAGGTGAAACGCCCGCCTCGTCCTGATCTTTGGGACCCGACCCCGAAAACAAACCCCGGGCAGCCCACACCTAGCAGCGACAGCAGCGGCACCGCCAACAGCAGTGAACCAGGGAGCGTCATGGCCTAGCCAGGTGCAGAACCCATGGATCCGGCTGGAAGTGACCTGTTGGCTTAAAAGGAAGTTGAGGACACCCAAAAAAGTCTCCAACGACTTGAGTCTGGGGATTGAGGACTCTGAACAAAAACTGTGTCATGTCAAATAATCATGGAAGTGGACCAGGGGCCTTTTGAGAGCATGGCAGTTTTCCAAAAACCCTGTGCCTGTCAATGTGCGACATGTTTGAACCTGGGGATTTTCCTAAAGACAACCGCAAGGGACGGTTCATAGGCGGCTCTTTCCTCCGCGTAATGGCGACATGCGTCCGAAAAGCTGACCATTCGAACCCGCGGTAGGAAGGCCTCAAAGAAGTCGAAAGGATTGACTCCAAAGGATGGACTGCTCTGTCAATGCAGATCACGGCAGGCAACCGAATTAGCCAGCGCTTCAATTCGCCTGCATAACATCTCCAACCCCGAATTGCACTCCAGCCACATCGCCCACAAATGGCCCCAAGAAGCCTCATGGCGGGCCTCCCGAAGCCTAACCGGCTCGGCGTCTGATGGATCAACTTCCGGCTCTTGCCAACGGGAACCCGGGCGGTTGGGGTGCTCATTTCTGCGGCCTTGAAGGGGTCTCGGAAGACAATGGTCCGTTTAAAGGGAGAAATTCTGTTGCATGCCAATCGGCAGGGCATCGCATCACTTGCTTCCCCATCGAAAGTCACCCAAATGGCCAAATGGGTTCTCCGCAGGGCTTTTCTTGTCGGAGGGGCCAAATCTGAATCTCAGCAATTGTGATGTTGTCCATCCACAGTATGCTGGCTCTTTCGATGTCCAGCCACAGTATGCGTTTTTTTTCTTTCAACCTTTTTTGGTTGACTCAGAATCCGAGGCGCAAAGAAGAAGCCGTTGCCCATGGACCCGCAACGCTCTGAGAAGAGGGAAGTGGCGTAGACCAGCAACACCCCCACACCTGAAGCAGTGAGTCAAAAAAACACTAAAGGAATCTACCTAAACCTTGCAATAACAAACAACTCAATCAGGACCGATGCACCTGTTTATGCTTGATCCCCTATTTGATTGTGGCTCACATGACTACACCTCCTTCCTGGCGTTATGGTCACGCAACCCCCAGGCAATGTGAACAAACAGTATGTGGGGGCTGGTTGAGGGAACCGTTACCAGGTCACCATAGTCCGCGTAAAGAGGTTTGACATTGGTAATGTGCTTTTGGTTTGGGGAGAACATGCGGGGCCGCCCAAAGTCACCGTCCATCCCGGGGGGTCGACTCAAACTTTCAACATCCATTGGGGGAGCAAAGACTCTGGCTCACGTGACCTGGTCAAATAGTCATGGCGAAGGCGACATGGAAACTGATGTGCTTTCATGTTATCCCCTTGACAACAGTACATGGTGAGTCTTGATCGTTGCTCAATGAGAAACAAAACAAATAAACATAAACATAATAATAATAATAATAATGATCATAATAATAAAAACCATAATAATAATAATAATAGTAATAATAAACGGACGCCTGTATAGAACTGCGCAGGGCGAATGATGCTCTCAGGCTCACTGAGGCGCACTTGAAGACTTGTAAGCGATAGATTCAACAGGAGCATGGCTGTGGTTGATCACACGGGGCTTATCCCGGACCACTTCTGTGATAGATACAAGGGAATCTCCCAGTTTGTTTAGGGGGGTAGTCTTTGGGAAACCCTTTTTGTTGTATCACAGAAGTGGTCATTTCCCGCAGCCCTGAACGGGAGTGATACTCTGGAAGAAAATACAAATGCTCCTAGCCACGTCCAGTGAGAGTCTGCGCTTCGCAAATTGTGAGATTAGTGTTTGTTCTTCTTGTTCTTTTCCTTTTTCTTTTCTTTTTTCTAAACGAGGCCATTTGGCACACCGTTTATCATTCTGAGCATCCGTTTACTTTCAACTCGCTGTAGGCGATGCTCGCCATTTTGTTCATGGTCGTCAGGGGATTTGAACCCATACGAGAGTACGCGCACCAGCTCCGCACTGTTGGCCTCATTTTGTTTTCCAAAATTTGGTCTTCCCAAAAGGTATGTGTTTACCGCTGGAAAATCGTCTTCCCAAAAGTACAAACTCCAGAAACTCAGGGAGCGAAGGAACCAACCTCGGGCCCAGAAAGTCGAACTTTCGGGTTCACAGTGATTGCAAAGGGACTGACTTGGCCTTGGGATCGTTTTGGAATCTTCGTTGGTCAAACGTAGATCCGCCTGATTTTCCTCGTGTTTTGAGAAGTCTTCCCGACGGTTTCCATCTTTCCTCGGAAAACAGTTTTGGACCACGCAACATGTGAAAGGGATGTGCCATGGGCGCTGCGTGGCATGGCCCTTCGGAACCCAGAAAGGCTTGCCGGAAAGCGAGAGGTTTTTTCTTGAGCGAAAACCACGACATGCTCCTCCCCAAATCTGGGCCCTCTTTGCATTAGTCTCAAATTCATATTCGGAACCCATCTATGAAAGACGCATAGGGGTGGGTCTTTTGTGAGGGAATGCCTTTCTTGTGGTTATACAGGAAAACCAAAAGGAAACCTGGGGGTCTACAAAACGGCGCACTTTCAGGAAAGGGGCGACATCCCTTTGATGACAGAACCGGAACCCGAGATCTGGACAAAGGGATTCTCCCATTCGACAGTGAAACAAACTGCAAAGGGACCCCATGTTTCCGGCCAAAACCCTTGGTCGTTGAGTACAGTGGCTTACGCATACAACACATGCACATATATATATATACACTCCATATATACTCCATGCTCGTGGTTGTTCTTTTGCCCACTTCCTGGGTGGGTCGGCCAGAAAGAGTCACAACTTGTTGTTGCCACCAAGACGGCATACCAAAAAGTGACTAAAGCTCTGCAACGGACCTCAGAAGGCGAGTTTGCGCAGAATCTGTTTTGGTTTCCCTTTGCGTGTTTCCCTTTTGCTCGCCTCCATGGACGACCCCAAAGCAGTTCGCCATGAGCCGCAGGTTTCCTCCAGGCAACTTGGTGGTTTGGTAAATGGGAACCCACCCCCTTGACCACCAAACCACCAAACCAAACCACCAGCTAAACCCGGGTTGAGACCTTGAATCCCAAAAGCATATGAAATCAATAGGTTCGCCGCGGCCATTTTTCCAAGGTTCGGTTTGGGCGGGGTGTGTGTTTAGGGCGTTTTTTCCCCCCGTCTGGTTTAGGTTGGCCAGGCTTGGGGTTGGTTAGGGTGCGCTTCGGATGGTTTAGGGGTGGTATAGGGTTTACTTACGCTTTGTTAACGTTGATGTTGGCTGGTTTAGGGATTGTTTACTCCTGGTTCACGGTGGGTTTCGGGTTGGTTTCAGCAGAGTTTAGGCTGGTTCAGGGGAGTTTGGGGTTGATTTAGAGTTGGTTTAGGGATGGTTGAGTTAGTTTAGTGGTGGTTTAGGATGGGTTTAGGGTTGGTTTCGGGTAGGTTCAATGTTGGTATAGGGATTTCTTCGTGCTGGTTTACTCTGGGTTTAGGGCTGGTTTAGGGTGGGTCTTGGGCTAGTTTAGGGCTGCTTAGGGTGGGTGTAGGGTTGGTTTGGGGTCTTGTTTTGGTAGAGCTCGTTCAAAGTTGGTATAGGTGCGGGTTTGGGGTCGGGGTTTGGGATTGGTTTGGGGGGTTGCTCGGGTCATGTGCAGGAGTTGATTTTGAGGTGGCTTCAAGCTGGTTCAGAGGTGGGTGTAGGGTTGGTTTTAGGCTGGGCTTTGGATTGGTATAGGGTTGGTTTAGGGTTGGTTCAGGGTTTGTTCAGGGTTGGTTTACGGTTGGTTTGGTTGGAAAAGGGTGGGTTCAGGTTTGGTTCAGGGTGTGTTCAGGGTTTGGTTAGGGTTGGATTAAGGTTGGTTTAGGGTGGGCTTAAGATTCTGTAGGGCTTCTGTTTAAGCGCGGTTCAGTGAGAGTTTAGAGTTTGCTAAGTCGCCTTAGGGATAGTTTGGTGCTGGTTTAGTCTGGGTTTAGGGTTGGCCTGGGGTTGGGAAAGGGATTGTTTTATCGCTTGCTTTTGTGTCTTGCGGCGGTTGTTGTGGCATAGGCTTTCCACATTCTCAGCTAGCATCGCTGGATAGTGTTTGCAACCAACCCTAAACCAGCACTAAACAATTCCTCAACCGTTAAAAATAGTCCCTAACAAGCCTGAATCAAACCCCATACCAGCCCTAAACCCACCCGAAACCAATCCTAAACCAACCCGACCAACCCTGGACCCTGGCCCCTTTGTGCTCGTTGCTGCCGTCATCCTACTCAAGGGTAATGATGTCCCCCCAAAAGCAGCAAACATTCGACTTTAACCTTTTTCTTTATTTCTCGTTTTAGTCAAGGGCAAAGATGTCTTCGATGGTCCCAAACGTTCACCCAGAAAAGGTAAAAGGAAACCCGGTCTGACTCTGCCAACTCCAAAGCAACCAACATAATCTTCCGTTTGTTTAAGTCGCCCCCCAAAAAAAAACATGCCAGTAGTGGAGGAAATGAAAAGGCTGAACTGCAAAAAGTGGGCGGGGTGTGTTGGCATCTCGGTCCTTCCACGGCATCTTTGTCGACCAAGGTCTCCATGGGAGGAGCGCCGGGAGCCACTCTTGTTGGTAACTCGCCAACTCGCCACTGTCCTTTGGGTTTTCGAAGAGTTGTTCTTTTGGTTGTGTTTACGCGGGCATGGAATGACCGGGATGTAGCCAAACCCTTGGTTCACCGAAAGAATGATCTTCCCCAAACGCACAGGTCCAGCGAAAAGGAAATGCACAAACCACAATGGCATGTCAAACGTGAGGTGCTTCTTGTTTACGCCTCTGGCGGCAAACCCAACTCTGAGAGTGTGTGGGATGGTGCGCGTTACGCAAGTATGTGTGTGTGTGTGTGTGTGGGTGTGTTTGGGTCTCGGTATGTGGGTGTGTAGGTGTGGGAATGTGGGTGTGTGTGTGTGTGTGTTTGTGTGGGTGTGGGTTCTGTTTCGATTCTTTGGCAAACTTACTCATGGAAGCCTTTGCGACGCAGACTTTCCTGTTTGCGCCCCGAGGGAGTTCGGTGACGGAACTTGAGCCAGGGTTTCCAGGTTTCGAGTTGCAAAATGAAGACCTTTCCGGACTCAAATCCCGTGCGTTGCCTGCCAGGGTTGAATGAATTTTGGCCTTGCATCCTAAGGGAAAATCACCTCCCAAACAGCTTAAATCCCACTCGCAATCGCACAAAAATATGGGAAGCCAAGCAAAACAGCTGGAGTTTCTTTTGACTTGGCAAGTTGCGCTCGCTACTTTCCAGTGTCGTGCGTCGTTCTCTTGCCAGCAAACAGCCCCACCGATCGCATGCTAAATAACCGGCTGACAAAAGGATTTGCCGACAAGCAAATGGAAGATTGGCTGTGCTCCTGGCGTCCTGGGAAAAGCACCACCAAGCACGTCGCTTGGGTTGGCCTCCAAATAGAAATCGACTCCCCCAAATGGGTGTGGACCAATCAAGGCCAATCCTAATCAATCCATGGAATGGAGAGGAAGGATCACGTGGATTTGCTTGGTCCCTTCCTTGTCCCCAAACCCCGACACACAAAAACTGTCACGACTTTGAAGGGGCTAGGCGCTGCTGGATGACTCGACAAGCAGTCCCTGAGTTGTTGACCGGAGAGAAGTACAGCAAGCCTCGTGGAAGCTAGTGGGAAGTCCCTTTGCTGAACAAGCAAGCCAAAGAAGCATACGAGGAACGCAGCAACACCGGAGCTTGTCGAAGTAACCCTGGCAAGACCCGCATAGAAAACTCGATGACGGAACGATTATACCAACTTTGCCACCACCATTAAAACAAAGGGGGGAGCTTCGCCCAAATTGTGTCAACCATTCTGTTGGGGGGTTGAGCCCTGCGGATCCTCGCTAATCACGGCTTTCGGGCCACTGGACTGGGGTTTGACGAAGTCGCAAGCTTGGGTTGATGTCCCCCCTTCAGAGCACTGCCCCAGTCATCCCAAATACCATGATTTTTAACTTAAGCCAAACATGAGGCAACCTATACATGTAGCACCTGGTGGGGGAACCATTCTATTCATGTGGGCAAAAGGCGAAGGCGGCCGCAGCTTTTCTGCAGGCTTTGGCTCACAGAAAGCTGCGCAGGGCCCGGCGCCTAGATGGAAATCGCACGGTCCAAAATTTGTTGGTCCACGAGAAAACCAGAAGCTTAGCGAGTCTCCCCTTCTTACTTTTTGCGGGCACCTTGAGTCCTCCATGTCCTTCGCATTTTTTCCTCCCGAAGCCAAGTTGCACAGAGCTAAGTTGCACAGAGCCAAGTTGCCAAGTTGCACAGAGCCAAGTTGCACAGAGCCAAGTTGCACAGAGCCAAGTGGCACAGAGCCAAGTTGCACAGAGCCCAGTTGCAGAGCCAATTTGCACAGAGCCAAGTTGCACAGAGCCAAGTTGCACAGAGCCAAGTTGCACAGGGCCAAGTGGCACAGAGCCAAGTTGCACAGAGCCAAGTTGCACTTGAGCGGCACAGAGCCAAGTTGCACAGAGCCAAGTGGCAGAGAGCCAAGAGCGGCACAGACCCAAGTTGCACAGAGCCAAGTCGTAGAGCTTCGGCGTAAGCAGCTATGGAAGTTAGCTTAGGTTTCTAAGGCGCCGGGGTGGGAGTCTGATCATTGCTCGGGATTGCGACCCTCTGCGGAGATTCGCCTGGTCGATGATATGTTTTTTGATAACGATTTCTGCCGGCCGCGCGCGACCCTCTGCGGAGATACGCGTGGTCAATGTTAAAAATTATGCACCAGCACCTGTGCCAGAGATGCGCCCCAAACAGCACGCCCTTCCAGCGCAGTGCGCCCTTCCATGTTGGGCTGGCAACCAAGAGGGAAAGTGAGGGGATGTTAAACCCTCGGAGAAGCTTCCCATGCTGAAACACATCCACATAGGGGGCGGACTTCCCTTTCTGCTCCCTGGCCCAGGGCCCTGTCTTACAATAGCTGAAAGAAAGAGCTAATTCTGGATTTGGCAACTTCAAGTGAGAAAGCCCACCCATACAGTAACTTTAGCCACATCAAGTTTTGGGACCATGTTGCGCCTATAAGGGGATGCCGATGCGCCCAGGCCACAGCCGGCCACAGCAAGGTTGCAGCAAGGTTGCAGCAAGGTCAACTGTGAGCCTGCCTGGTATCCCGCAGCAGCCTGCGCGGCCTGCGAGGGTGGGTCTTGCGAGCCGAGAGTTTCGTAAGGTACCGGCAAACTACTTGATTAGCTATACACCATAATACAGACCATGTTGCAGCACTCCTGCCCACACATGTCAAATACCCCTAGCATGCAAACAGAGAGCAACAGCTTTGTCCCAGAAAACATGCAAGCAGAGATGCCAGGGCAACAGCTTTGTGCCAGAAAGCGGGCCCAGGCAGGCCGCAGATCTAAGAATCTCTGGTCTTGTCCTGGTCCCCATCCATCCATCAAATTTCTGAACATAAATCTGTCCAAAGACTCTGGGCAAACAGTCATCTACAGGGTGTTCCCCACAACGGGCCATGTCTAGTGCGTGGGTTGAGCAAGGCTGCAAAGCACTTCAAATACCAGCAAGGCGGCCTCGGCGCAGTATCAACCCAAGAAAACATTCAACCTAAGCCCAACCGAAATCCAGCAAAAAAACATGAACACCTATGCCAAACCTACAACTTAAACCAAACCCCAGCCGCAGCCCCAACCCTAACATGCATGAAAGCCTGAACCATTCCCTACGCCCAAAACCTAACACCTTCCCAATTTGAAAGAAATGCCGGGGACGAGACACCAACTAACCAATTGTTGTTCTGCTCAAGTAAGGGAAGAATAGATCGCGGACAAGCCAAGGTTTTGAAGGCGTCCGGCCCCCGCCTGCCACTGGAGCCGCCCTGGCGCAGTGCCAGCCGCCGCGGTGGTTTGGGGCAGCTGGTTGAAGGCTCATGTGCAGTCAATGTAGGGTGGGCTTACGGTTCTACATGGATTTAGGACGGGTTTAGGGGTTAGGGTTCATTTGGGAGATTTAGGGTTGGTTTAGGGTTGTTGGGGTTGTTCTGGAGAAGAATTCGGGCGGATTGGTGGTGAGTTCAAAGTTTTTGTATAATTCGATAACACTCCTCAAACCGTCATTCAATTTCCCCTTCTCTGGGCAGATTTTTGCTGGGGGGAAATTTGATGGCAGCACTGAGGGTGGGAGGATTGGGGTGGATTGGCTGAGGGTGGGTTTAGGGCGTGGAGTAAGGTCCGATGGTGGAGATGCAGGGTCAGTGGATTTAGGGTGTGTTTAGGGTGGTTGTAGCGTTATTGCAGGTCTGGCTCAAGTGCACTGAGTCAGCCAAGCTTAGAAGTGGGACAGCTCAACAACCGTGGGATAGCCACCCGTGTATGATCAAACTTGCCTGCTACATTCCACGTTGCCACCCCTGCACCGTTTTTTGAGCAACCTATACTCGCACAAGGGCGCGCTTATCAATCCTATCCAAGACTTCCTACGCTCCCAAAAGGTGCCCCCCACCCCACGGCTGACCAAGGGCTTCCCCAGGGAACCAAGGCCTTGATGACGCTGCTTCCAGGTCAAAACGTAGTTCCGGGTGATGACAGCAGGCAAGCTGTAGAATTGCAAGCTGTAAAATTGGCAGCGGCAAATACTGCTGGCGCTGCGCCGTGCCAGCGCGTCATTGGTTTGGCTCTTGGCAGAAAAATGGCGAGCAGCAAGGTGGAAGCGGTTGTATACCTTGGTTGGGAACCTTTTCAGGAGGGCTTGGAGCCGCCTCACACCAAGATCTGGCGGTGGCCAAATCAAGCGGCTGCCCGCCTATCCCCTGACCAATGTTCCAGCAACCTGAACCCTGTTCAGAACATTTGCAAAAACCCGCATTAGCTAGCACGGCTTGTTTCATGCAAGAGGCGCCTGCTTGATGATGCCAGGTCCCCTTCGATAGGTTCGCGGGCCCCGTGTCAAAATGGAGGCTAACATGGACGTCAACTTCCGCAATTAAATTGGCTCCAAAGTTTACTCAGGGTTTATTGGCCTGGATGCGATGCGAACAGCCCAAATCCCCGCTTGCCTGCGTCGACGCGGGGCGGGCGTGTGCCGCGTTGGCTTCCTGGCGGGACAGCAACGTGGCGGAGGCGGGTGCTGGGGAGCCAAAATATTGGGCTGCTTGGGGTCAAACAAGGCTTCTTGGCTTGGCTTGGAACGGCTTGGCGCCCAAGACGACCCCCGGACACCCAACAAGATTGTCGCTCACCATGCAACAAGCCGCTGTCAAGGAGAGCACGCCAAACACAGTCGATGCTACGCGGTAGCAAGGGTCTCAACCCCTTTGCCTGCAGGATGGCTAGGATGATCGCAGATTGGATGTTTGCAACGGGACATACGAATGCCTACAGAAAGGCGTTGCCTGCAGAATGAAGCGCCTGTGAAATTCCCGTGGTACCAGTAGCCAGGCAACTCCTATGCACCACCCAGTCTACCACAGGAGCATGGCAAGTAATATCTAAACCCTAAAACCCATAAAAACCCTAAACCCTAACCCTAAAACCCATGAAACCCTGAAGCAAACCCTACGCCCAAAACCCAACACCTTCCCAATT